CAAGTTACTACGAACCGTGCCTTCAAACATGGTTGGTTCTTGAGGAATGATACTTAGTCTGGAACGCAAGTCATGCAGCCCAATGGTCAAGATGTTTATTCCGTCAACTCTGATTTCTCCGGCTGTAGGTTCCACAATCCTAAAAAGAGTTTGAATTAGAGTGGATTTGCCACATCCTGTTCTTCCAACGATTCCCGTTTTCAGGCCTCCTGGAAAAGTGCATGTCAGTCCACGCAGCACCATAGGCAGATGTGGCCCATATCGTACTTGCAGATTACAGATAGTAATCTCCCCACGAGATGGCCACGTTTTGTCAGGCCGAGTTGATTCAATCACAAGAGGTGGTTCACTGGGGATGTTTATGTATTGAAGCATTCTCTCCACAGATATCATTTTGTTCTCGAGATCACAAAGCGTCCATATTAAGGTTGCTTGCAGGCTATTTAGATTGAGTGCATATGTAACCGCCAATCCTGCAAAGCCTTTAAAGAAGCAGAACACCAAAAAAGAAGACACGGAAGATTTTTAGCTGTGAATCTGAACCAAAACAAAAACACTGACTAAAGAGCGCTGACTTACTTGGATTAATGACTCCTTCAGGCACAGAAACTAAGATAACTAGCGAAAGTGCAAATGCCACAGTGGATAAGAGATCAAGACGGAAGCAGAGCCACTCCATTGCAGAAATGGAATGGAACCTCAGCCGAGAATAACAATCGTTAAGTCTCATGATGTCAGTGCGAAATCTTGGTTCTTGATCAAAGCTCCTGATAGTTGTTATCCCTGAAAGTGTTTCAGAAAAATGCTGCACCAGAGGCGATCTGCTTATTCCAGATAATCTTGCTAGTTCCCGAGCCGCGGATATGTAATATTGCTGCATACATACGTTAAATCAATATCAAGACTAAAGTTCAAGAAAGTTAGTATGAGTAATATCAATGATTGCACTAAGTCTCCTATATTATCTAATCGTGATTCCATGAGATTTACAAGCCAAAGTATGAAGCTAGGCTTTAGTCTCAGTTTGTCAGTGTTATGAAGAATACCCGATACCAGGTGCATGCAACGATGACAGGGATGAAGACGATAAGGACCTGCCAAGCAACCTGTACCATCACTCCAATAATTCCCAAAATGTTTACAGCAGTAATAGCAAGATTTGAAAATTGACTTGGTAATCTCAAATCCACGGCACTTTGGTCTGTAGAAGCCTAAATCAGGATTGAAACCACAGTGATCAGAAAAGGAGTTTGCAGGATCAGTTTTGATATTGTCATTACACATGAGTAAGTAAACATAGATGGTTCTTACTCTATTCAAAATTCGGCCAATTGGGGTGGCATCAAAGAATGACATGGAGGCACGAAAAATGCGGAAATGCATTTGATTGAAGAGTTCAGTAGCTATCTTGAAACCAGTCATGGCGGCCAGCATTGCTCTGACAAGTATACATAAGGAGCTCGCAGTAGCTAGAACTACATAAACTATAATCAATGTTGAGCCACTCACTGGAGGTTTCACATCCTTAGAAACAGGAGTTACCCAAGCCATCCAGTAGTTGCTACCGATGTTTAGAACCTGAAAGAGAATCTGTACAACCAATATTACAGGCACAAGTGCACCTCCGTACGCCAGAGCCATGTACTTTTGGTATACACTGAACCCAACTTTGCCTTTCTCCCTCTCTTCTTCTTGGACTAGTTGTCCTTTCGGGTTAGGCAAATCTTCCTCTTGTTTTTCTTCATCGTTGGAAACTTTGCTTTCTTTGCTTGTCGTTGATTGTGCTGAAGCAGATCCTTTTTCATATGAATCAACTGCTGCTAAGGCATCAGTGTGAGCTCCTACAAGTTCCATGAAATCGGTTCCTGATTCAAGAATTTCATTGTACTTTCCCGCTTGCGTGATCCTCCCATCTTTCATGACCTACAAAAATGATTATCTGATATAATTAATATGTAACTAGATAATGCATTAGAAAGATGGTAGAGCGAAGAAGCCCAAACCAGTATAAGATCAGCCTCAGGCAGGAATTCAAGTTGATGAGTGACATATACGACTGTCTTGTTTCTCAGAAGCCCAAGCAGGACTTCCTGTTACAGAAAACGATAAGAGTCTATGTAATACAAGTCAAAATAATAGAAAAAATGAAAATGATTATTACCTTGAAGAGATGTGATCCAGTATGAGCGTCTACTGCACTAAAAGGGTCATCAAACAGATAAATATCTGCATCTTGGTAAAGAGCACGTGCAATCTGTATCCGTTGCTTCTGTCCACCGCTTAGATTGATACCCCTTTCTCCAATAACCGTCTGATCATGGAACGGAAGTACCTCCAAGTCCTTATTCAAAGAACACGCTTCAAGCACCCTTTCGTACCATTCTCTTTGCATTGGCTTACCAAACAGAATGTTCTCTTCAACCTTGCCACTCTGGATCCAAGGCGACTGTGCAATGTATGCCTTTCTTCCACAAACCTTAAGATTTCCAGATATTTTGGATACTTCACCCAGTATGGACGAGAGTAAGCTTGATTTCCCCGAACCAACAGTACCACATATAGCGATGTTCATCCCATGAGGGATTTTGAAACTTATGTCTCTCAGCGTTGGGATGGGAGAAGAGTCATCCCAAGAGAAAGCACCATTGCTGACTTCCACATCCATTTTTGAACTTCCACTAGGAAGTCTCTCCACACCATCTTGCTGCAAATCTTCAAGGCAAAGAAAAGATGCAATCCTATCAAGAGATACCTTTGTCTGAACAATCATGGAGATTGTATCAGGAAGTTTGTATATCGGAGTTTGCAGAATCCGAAAAGTTGCAAGAGCAGCTATTATCTTTCCCGATTCAAGAGGAATCTTCAGAAGCATACAAGCGCCAAAAGCTGTTGCGGAAACGAACGAAGGTGCAGCCCAGAGAACAGAGCTGATAGCAGCCGAGTTGTACACGAATTTTTTAAGCCAGCCTGCTTCAATGCGTCTAAGGTCAAGAATCTTATGAAGGAACTTCATCTCCCATCCTTGAAGTTTAAGAATCCTCATGTTCAGTAAGACCTCCGATGTTTTCTTCATCCTGTTATCTTTAGACTCCATTAAATTTCCCTGAAACTTCTCTTCCAACTTTGCCAAGGGAATATTTCCCAGCATAACTAAAAACGTTGCAGCAAAAGCTGCAATTGATCCTAGCCCAAGGCTTCTGTACAAGATCAATAACGCTAAACTGATTTGTAAGACAAGTATCCATGGATCATGCATATACCAACTAAAAGCACTGATTCTCTCAGCATCTACTGTCATGAGATTTATGATCTCACCACTGGTGTGTCCTTGCTTTGAATAACAGGGGAGGGTCAAGCCCTTTTCGTAGATCATCGAAACCAGGACCGATCTCATTCCAATCCCAGCTTTCTGCAACCTGAAATACCAATTCCTCCGCGCTTGGCATTCTACAAGCTTAGCAACAAAAAAAGTTGTTACTAAAACAACCCCTTCATTTGAATATTGTCGTTGACCGTTCAGGTACTGAACAAAAGTATCCATGAGATACGGTGCAACGTAGCAAGACACTGTGTAGACAAAAGCAAACAGAGTTGACAATAGAATATCTCGCCACACTGAAAAGAAGAGTGCCTTAATAAGCTTAAACGTGGTGATCCTTCTTTCACCATCGTCCCATTCAAGCTTACTCCTAAAAATCCAAAATAGTTTCTCAGCTCTGTCACTATTGTCAACTTGAGGAACATCCTCGCTGTCTAAGATTTTCTCGTTTCCTAAGACAATCAAAGGACTCATCCAAGAGAAACTCACATGGCTTAGAAACCCAGCGTTCGAAAAAGGTGTAACAACCTCAGCATCCTCTTCGGCCTTATCCAACTGCACACTAGTAGTCGCACTAGATTCACCTCCATTCAAGAGAGGTTCTTCGAGTAAGTTGATCCTTTCACCTTCTCCTTGCTTCTGCAAACATGAATAGCAGAGAAACAACCCCACGCTAACGGCCACTACATCAGACAATAAAAGGTGAACTGACACCAGTTCTTGCTTCTTGTATAGAGAAATGTCTACCAAAAGACGGTAGCAAGAAAACATAAAATACAAAACCCACCAGACTCTAAGCAAGAAAGGAAACTTTTGATCATGAGAATCGGTGGATAGACTACGCAGGTAGAAAGTGATGGCACCCCAAGAAAGGGCTGTAAATAGAAGATCTAAGAGACTCATCAGATCGCTGCCATCCCAACCATTTGTATGCAGGTGGAAACAACTTAACAGCGACAACACAGAATTCAAGGCAAACAAAGTCTCACAACATATAACGACCAGTTTATTGTATGTTAAAGACATATCCTTAAACCTCTCATTATCACTATTTTCCCAACCCAACCTTTTCTTGTAAACACAGGAACCAAACATAACTAGCAACAAAAGAAGATTAAAGAAAATGGAGAACATTGGAAAGTAATTGGACTCAAGGAGGAAAAAATCGATAGGATTGTCCATTGCATAACTCTGTTTCATTAGGCAATGGATACGAGAATAATGTTCAAGTCTGTCACGATGGACGACAGTACATATAGAAAACTCGTCAATAGATATATTATTTCGAGGAAAATTTCTTGAGTGGGGAATAAATTATAGTTCCATGACGTCTCAACGTCCACCCTTTAAGCTTTTTTAACGCTTAAACCCTCATTCGCAGAAACTTTTGTGTATTTTCTCAGAAACAGAGAGTATTTTTTAAAATTTCTCCGCAACAAAACAACAAGACCCAGACGATTTCGTGGAAAATATCCCTCCTATCTAATCCCACTACAAAGACTTGGCGCTGTAGTTATGAAATACCACTTTTTCTACAACAAGTTTTAACAGAAACAGATGACACTTACAGAAGAATAGGTAGAAGTTCTAATTGATTGTAGCAAGCAATCCTGGATCCTGACTAGTCTTGTTGTCATTTCCTAGAAAGCTGTAGCAAGCAAAACAAAACTCAAGACGATAATGATGAATTTTCCGTTTATTCCCAAGAGTCTAATCACAGAAATCATGGTTTAACCAAATAAACACTTGCATACTTAACATATCTTAAGTCTCTGCTAATCAGAAACCAACCACAGGAAACTCCACTAAACAGAGATTAGAGTTTCCGAGTTTTACTTTCAAATCCCATCTTAATCAGTCTTATCTTATAATGATCTGATTATGGAAACAGCATCGCATATCATATACTTCACCAGCTTCAATAACAAGAGAAGCCGAGAGAACAATGAAAAGCCATGAACAACAACAACAACAAAACACAAAAAGACTTTTTCAAATTACATAATCCGACCACTCGGATATATGCGATGTCTGGTCCATAGTCAAACCAGGAATCTTGTCGTGCGTTTTCGGATTATCTTTACCACCAAGCAACCTCGCCGGATTTCCAACAGCCGTCGTACGCGGCGGCACGTCTTTCAGCACCACCGAGCCAGCACCAATCTTAGCTCCTTCTCCAATCGTAATATTCCCCAAAATACAAGTCCCAGCTCCAATCAAAACACCATCGCCAATCTTCGGGTGCCTATCTCCACACTGTTTCCCCGTCCCTCCAAGTGTAACGTTGTGGAGAATCGAAACATTGTTCCCCACAACCGCCGTCTCGCCGATCACGATAGCCGTAGCGTGGTCTAGCAAAATCCCGGTTCCAATTTTAGCTCCAGGGTGGAAATCAACAGCGAAGGCTTCAGATACTCTGTTCTGAATCAACAAAGCTAGGATTTTTCGGTCCTGCGTCCAAAGCTCATGAGCAATACGATGCGCTTGACAAGCGAGGAAGCCTTTAAAGTGAAGGAAACAATGAACGTAGCTTATACAAGCTGGATCTCTCTCCTTAACAGCTAACAGATCTTGTTTCACAGATTCAACAATTTCTGGGTTCTCTTGAAGAACACCGGAGAACAAATCGAAAAGCGTGTTGCTCGGAAGATTCAAATTGCTGAGTTTAACAGATAAAGTATTGGCCAACGCAGCTTCCAACGATCTCTGGGACACAATCGAAGCGTGATAATAGCCGGAAACAATAGGTTCTTTGGCGATATCAGATTTAGCTTCTTCTCGGATTTTGGCCCAAACATCATCGATTTCAGCGTCGCGATCGAGATCTTCAACCAAGGGACGAGTATGGAGGGTTTTCGTCTGGGTTCCATTGAAGGAAGCTCGATCAGGGTAACGGAAGTAATTCATGTAACGAAAGCCAGACTCATCATCGTGGTTTTTAGAAGAATCGCGAGGAGAAATCTGGGGTTCACCAGTACGGCAGGTGTCGATGCACGCAGCCATAGGAGGAGGAGGAGATAAAGGTTGGTCTTTGATAGGAGAGAAAGTGGAGGAGGAAACAAAAGAAGGAAGAAGGAAAGAGTGATGATTGATGTGTGGAGAAGATGAACGGAGCATATATAGGGACATTGAGAAATGGCGCCGACTTGTGACCGGGAACATTGCTTATTTTTATCGAAACGAAAACGCAGAAAGGATGTGAACAAATTTATGTGTTTTGCGGAAGATTGTTTCTCTCTCTGTCTCCTTTAGATTTGTTTCCTTTAAAATTCGAATCCTAATTTATTTCTTAAACCTTTTTTTTGACTGTGAACACTGGCCACTGGAAGTGGAGAGACTGGGTCGCAAAAAAAGTTATAAATTGTTTAGATTTTTTTTTTCTTTTTTTCTTACATTTTACTTTCTTGTGTAATTTAGCAATTTTTTCAAAACTGTTACACTCAATTATAATTTAAGAGAAAAAAGATTAATTAGTTTAGAAAATGTGTGTAATTTATTATTGAAAATAAACTTTCTTGTGTAATTTAGCAATTTTTTCAAAACTGTTACACTCAATTATAATTTAAGAGAAAAAAAGATTAATTAGTTTAGAAAATGTGTGTAATTTATTATTGAAAATTTTACTTTCTTGTGTAATTTAGCAATTTTTTCAAAACTGTTACACTCAATTATAATTTAAGAGAAAAAAAGATTAATTAGTTTAGAAAATGTGTGTAATTTATTATTGAAAATTTTACTTTCTTGTGTAATTTAGCAATTTTTTCAAAACTGTTACACTCAATTATAATTTAAGAAAAAAAAAGATTAATTAGTTTAGAAAATGTGTGTAATTTATTATTGAAAATAAACGGCATGGCAATCGATTAATTTTTTAATTCTCGTGCGATTGAACTAAAAAAAAAAATCAAGGACATGTCGACTGTCGTAATAAAGTAGCACTTGTTTGGTTAAAGAATAAAAATACCACATGCTTTTTATCATTTTAAAAAAGTTGTGGTCAGAGTTTTTGTGTACATATATCTTCTTTGGGGGAGTGAAGCTCTCATCCATCACATGTTCTTTTTTTGTGACACCTACTTTTTTGGTTACCAATCAACCCTCTTTTTCTCTCTTCTACTTTCTTACAGTAGAAAAAAATAACGACTAAGAAAAATAAAACTATCACAATTCACAATGACATGAATACGTGCAAGTGCAATCCCATACAAGTACAATTTAATATTCATTACCTTTGTCCCCAAAAAAAAAACTATATATTTAATTTCATTGCCAACATCGAGATATATAAACCCTTTTTGCTAGATATGTATAATAGACCTTTCATGAATCAATTTAAGAGTAATTTGAACCAACCTTGGTGCTTTTTTAATACAAATGAAAATAAACTTTTCATTCAAAAAAATAAAAAGAAAAGTGACGTATGTAATGACACATGACTTCTTAGCAGTGTTCTAAAAAGCGGTCTAGGCGGTCGCCTAGGCCCCGACTAGGCGCTACGCTCTCATTCGACGCCTAGATAACCGCCTTGACCGCCTAAAATTACATAGATCTTGTTTTAATGTATTTTTTCAATTTCAATTAGAGTTTTATTTATATATATAGTTATAAATATTTATATATTATTTAATATAAATATAAATAAATATTTTATCTAGTTTTTGTTTATAATTTCATAATTTTTAGTTTTATATTGATATTTTATATAACTTTTATATATAATATCATATTTATAATGTATTATGTTATAAACGTCTAAACCGCCTAAAAAATCGCCTAGGCCCCGATTAGACGTTCTAGGCGCTAGGCATTGGGTCACCGCCCGCTTAGCGCCTAGCGCTTTCTTGAACACTGCTTCTTAGTTAGTCTATAGATCCGTGGAGCCATCGTCCTCTCGTGTTGAAGACTCCCTCTTTTCAAGCCAAAGTCACTTGAATTAATTATCATGTTCATGTGGCTCTCTCTCTCTCTCTAATAGCGAAAGGGATTTAAAAAAAAAACGCAAAGCTATCTAAATCAATGAGGACCCCTCCAATTATGAGTCTCAAAATACTTTGCTAAAACCAAAAGAAGAAAAAATGGAACTTACGTTTTTTCTTTTTTGTCTTAGGAGTATATTTTGTTTCCTTTCAATTTCAGCCGTTGAAAGGACTGTCTCTTCGAGTGTGGAAAACACAAAACCCTGTTTGTTTGATGCTTCTAATATAGCCATGTATTTTCGATCAGGATTAGTGAACAATAAGACTGAACAATAAGAACAAACCAATTCTGATATGAGGTCTTCTAAACTAAAATACAGGGTCAATATGAACCAGATTTCAACCATTTTGTTGAATGCAAATAAGATTTGACTATGTTATGCAAATGGCAACAACCCAAAATGGTACTACTAGAATTGTTATTATATAACTTATCTCGTAAAATTTAAGATTATTGAAGCAGATATTATGTATGATTTCAGCAATACTGTGAAAAAGCAATATACTTTAATTCGAGTGTTTTTTGGGGACAAACTATAATCAAAATAAATATTAATGGACGGTCCATGTTAGTATATCGTGGGAATATGCCTCAACTTTAACAACTATTATAAACAGCCACATAATTGTCTCATAAAATTCAATTTTGGCGACTATTCTTTTTCTTTCTTCTTTGGTCAAGAGATGCCACTTCTTAGTTCTTACTGTACCCAAAACCATTTCATTTTCTGATTAAAATAATGATATAGTTGTGTGTATGATTTTACGTTGAAAAGAATATTCTTCAACTTTAATATTGGGGGATTGACAATTTCTGCATCATCCAAATTAGATAAAGAAAAAACGCTATCGACTTTTCAGACAGATAAATTCGAAAACCACCACTGTTTTTTCCTTGGATCTTTTCGTATGCTTGGAAAGAAAAGAATGGTAAAACACTTGCAGGTTTTGTTTAGATTTGGCTGCTAAGAAATGAGACATATCGCCCTAAAGAACTGAGTCTAGTGGGTAATTGATAAATGAAATGTGTCTGCGACAAAAAAATATAATTTCCTTATTGAGTTTGTGGATAAACTTATACGTTTAACTATAATAATGAAGTCGCTTTCAAGATTCCAACGTCCTGATATTAAAAATAAAAAAAACTCAAGTTGTGTATCTCCTTGTTTCTACTCATACTATAACCCAAATAAAGATTCCACTTAAATACAAAAACAAAATAACTTAATCATAATAGCAACTGCATAACAATTAGTAAAACAAAAACAAAAAATTCCTTTGAACTTGCTTAATTAAGGATATGTTCATCAACTAAGAACCAAACATCGCTAAAGATTCCAACTTTGCTAAGGACCAGATAATACAACTTACATTTTCGTTACAGAGGTTCTCAAAAAGATGATACAAGGCTTACCGGTTCTAAGCAATGTAGTTGATCTGAAACAGTCTGTTCATTCAATGCAAAAGTGCCCATCACATCTGAGGAAGAAAAAAACTTTGGTTAAGAACAAGCATCAAGATCTTGATGGTCAACAGAGAAAGATTGAAGTTTGATGAAGATTTTGTGTGGATTAGTATCCACAAGATTCATCTGTATCAGAATACAGAAAAAAAGAGGAAAGAGATTTTTGTCACCATTGTAGTTACACTCGTTCTTCAGAGCTTCACTTCCACATCAACACCAGCAGGAAGATCAAGTTGCATCAAAGAATCGATAGTTTGAGCAGTCGGGTAGAGAATATCAATCATACGCTGGTGTGTCCGGATTTCAAAATGGAACCTAGCATCCTTGTGTACGTGAGGAGACTTAAGAACACAGTAGATACGCTTCTTGGTTGGCAATGGAACAGGACCCATCGTCTTTGCATTAGTATTTCTAGCAGCATCAAGAATCTGCTTGCATGAGTCCTCAATAAGAGGCACCCAGTATGATCTAAGCTTGATCCTAATCTTTTGCTTTGGCGCCATCTGCTAACAAGAACAATGAGTCTCCACAAAAAAAAACCCTCGAAACAAAACTCTAGTATGGCAAAGAACATTCCCATGAAAAGATGATCATAACTGCTATTTCACACTTCTCTTCTGTATATCCAAGATGATATTGGATAAGAAGATCTATCTACTTGAAAGTATATCTTTCTAATCAACGGGATAATTGGTACACACGACACTTTATAGTTTTTAGTGCTGTGAAAACATAGTAAACCAAAAAAAGTCTATTGCTTTGACGAAGACACGGACATAGAACACACCAATTCATTAACTTCTGCGTATCAAATTCAAGCAGTGAGCTCTAACAGTAATAGAATGTACCTTATCAGCATCTACACTGATGGAGGAAGAGCTCGGAACCTGAATCACACACGGACACAAAGACTATTATTAAGAAAATTAACATCAAAATGCTAAATGATTCTGCAAAACAATGTCTTTCCCCCAAAATTTCGCATTATATCTGCAAACAATCGAAGAATCCGAGAGTGTACCTCAGAGGCGGGTTCATCGAGAATTTCTGGAGTTGGATCTAGGGTTTCCGGAACCGCGATGACCTTCGTAAGAGAAACGGAGGGTTTAGTAAGGACGGAGGAACTAAGGCCGCCATGGGTAGACGATGAAGGTAGCAGAGAGACTTTGAGTCTGTTAGAAGAAGGCGAAGAGCTTGGAATGACGAAGGAGGGTAATAGAAACGAAGATACAGTAGAAACCGCCATGGAATTTTCCTGAACAAGAATCGATTTCTCTTCTTCTTCTTCTTCTTCCTCTTAACGTTCCAAGGATGAGGTTTCTTCTTCAGCTGTTTCGTCTCGAGGGTTATCCATTTTATCCAAAACCTTTTTCCGTCTTTTTTTAATGATGAGATATTATTTATTCGAAGCCCATTAATAAATCATTTGGCCCAGTAGAATTGGAATCCATCAAACTAACTTAATATTGCATTGCATATTTTTGTTATCTTATACGTTGTTTCTTTTGGGGACCAAAATATTCTAACCTAGTAAAATATTATGATTCATTTGTCTTTCGGTATTTCTTTCTCGTGGATTGTTGTTATCTAACAATGTCTTTAGAAGATTCTTTTGTATCTCATAAATACTTTTGGAAAATTCAACTCACAAAAATTCGTTAAGTAGATGGGAAAAAAAGTGGAATTCAAAATTAACTACTACAGTACTTGACAAACAAAACCCCATGAATATATGCAATGAATGTGGAAAAAAATGGACATATACGACAATCAAGTCTCATATAAATATTCGATGAAATAATACTAACTCAAAAAAATATAACTTTAATTTAAATCTAAAAGACAATATCAAGGAAAGGCTAGCTATGGTAATTTTATAAAGTATTCTACAACCATTATTCAATCACCACTATTGAATGCATTGTTCTTTCATCCGTATACCTTAAAATATATATATGTGATCCATAATCTCACACGGAAATGTAAGGTATTGGCGTAGTGCTAGAATATAATTATTTAGAAAGAAAAATACGTACATATAGAAGCCTAACAATTAACATAATGATATCGCCATGCAATTTAAAGAAAATGACTTAAACCAATAAAAGACAAAAAGACAATGACATCTTCTAAAAATTATAGTCCACACACGCCCTCACACTATTCAAAGACCAATCATCCCTCACTATTCCGTTTATATTTGTCTCAATCATCATGAGCATATTTATATATATTAATTAATCACAAACTAATTAAGTATCCATAATTTAACACACCATAAAAGTCTTGTATAGCTTGATGATTTAAACATATAAATCCGAATTACATCAAAGCTCATCAAAGATTCGGAAGTTTTGGAACACTAATACCAAAGGTTGTTGTTTCGTTTCCATAACATCTAACCAATAATATGCCAAAAGAAAACATGGATTAGTTGACAAACAAACAAACACTGAGATTATTACTTTGATCCACATTACTGGGAAATCAAACTTCACACGTGGCATGCAGCCATGCATCTTCAAACCAAGGGGTAGTTTTGGTTAATCATCCAAATATGCCCATTGGCACCAATTCCCTCAATAACTACTATAAATACCAAGGCCGTTGAGTGTAACGCTTTGCACAATTACACTTAAACCTGTTTATTTCTCCTTCTTCTTCTTATTCTAGTCTTCATCATTCACTCACAAAAACAAAGAAAAGAAACCAGAGAGATGGATCAAATAAAACCGGAGTTTCTGAAAAAATTGACGAAGTTTATAGCAGTTTCGATATGGATTTTCTCTCTTTTAACCACTCACAACTTCTATTTATATAGATTCATGATTCAACTCGTAACACACGCAGTAGATAAAAACTACATGTTCCTCCTCTGCAATGGTCTCTTAGTGGTTGTTGCGAAGTGCTCTGGTTTGGTCGCTTCGTCGAAACCAATAGAGAAATTTTGGAGTAATACCGATAAAACCTTTGATTATGGAGATTTCGAGAGTTACAATGCGATATTGGAGGTGAAGTATAATTCTGTTAATGGAATAGGAACAGAGTACTCCTTTCTTCTTGCAGAGGAAGTTACTGTAGAGGAGGATACAAAACATCAAGAAACCGAAGAAAACGAAGAAGATGACGATGACAACACATTAGCAGATAATGAAGGAGAGGAAGAGTGTGATCTTCGTGACGGATCTATAAACGAGGAAGAAGAAGAAGAGAACGTAGAAGTGATGACATCGACGGAGGAGGAGATGAATAAGAAGTTCGACGAGTTCATCAGAAAGATGAAGGAAGAGCTTAGAATCGAAGCTAAACGGCATTTAATACTTGTTTGAGTACTACTTTATAGTTAATCAGTTTTGTTTTAAGTTTAATCGCACCAAGTTACGTTTTCTAGCTTCTTCTACGTACTTCCTTCTATCCTTTGTAAGCATCTCTTTTAATGGAATAATCCTTTTTAAATCTAAGTTATTCTCTCGCGTTACACTTTTTATATTATAAAAAAAAAGCTCCCTCTTAGATTATATACTATGCAAAAATGAAGCTCATTAAGTACGATTAATCTAACATATGATCCTATACACACATATGACATATACATACCAAATTATATGTATATATATTTCATATTGAACTCCATTATTAGTTCTATAGCCTAGACTGATGATGTACTACATGTTTTTAGCGGTGTGTTGTCTGCACCCGATAGTTTGGGGGGGAATAATGCTGTCCGTGCATGCACACGTGTATACATTTGTAAAAATGAATTTTCAATGTTAAAAAAAAAATGTGTATGACGAATATTCCTAATTCGATCGATATGTTTGTTATAGGAGAATGTGCTTTCATATATACACGATATTTGATTGATTTATCCATTCCTGATTTCTTGGCTAGTTGATTTTTGTTGAATGTTTAATTTTCTTGACCCGATAACTTTTGCTTCCGTCGACAACAGAACTTAGAACAATCATGTTTATACACTACAAAAAAGAGGTGTTAATTACCATGATTCCGAAGCTAGCTTAAAGCCTTGAACCGTTAAAGCTTTTTAAGTCACGGACTCACGGGCACACCTAACGATTGTGCTACATGGATTTGGTAAAATAGTCGCGAGCCCTAAAATGATAACTATAGAGATTTTGAGACTCATTACAAAATCAATAATGTTATATATACATTAATTACGTCAAAATGATGTAATGTGTGTTAGTGTGTACATATATCTATTGATCCCATGATCCATCAATCTATATGTGCAACTAGTAGAATAATTATCAACGAATATATTATCTGCTCTGTATATAATCGAATCTGTATTAAAAAGTAATTTAAGTTTGCTTTAAAGACTCCATAGATTCTCTGCTCTCCGCTTATAGTTTTAGACCTCCATACTTTCTTTTTCAGTTCCCCACTATCCTACCTATATATCCAATCCATCACTAGTCTCCATTAGATAATTTTTATTTGAATATTAGAAAATGGAGTTATTGTGAACTTTGTTTAGAATCTTCTAGTCGATCGTTGGGTTGGTTTTCACTTTTTTTTTTTCTTTTACTTTTCTGAAACGGTTCAACTATACAAGCATCATCATGTTCCATTTATTGTGATTTATATTTTCTCTAGTCCTTTCGAGAGGCTGGTATTTAAAAGGAAAACATTTGATATGACGACTAATTCAATTGATGATCAACCTGAAAACCCCAAAAAGAAATAACCAAACCAGAAAGAAGAGGTTAGTAATGAATGTAATATGTATCAAACAAGCACGAATGAGACCGTTTGAATGGATACTGAAGATTGCGTTATCTGTTAATTAATTATATGTAAATATTATTACAAACACCCGTAAATTTTCTTGGTTAACTAGTTTAAGAAATGACTGAGAGCGAAAGATCTGTCGTCGAATAGTGATAGACTATACGATTTTGACACAGCAGAGTACATGTCCAGTCCCGTTCATATATTTAAAATGGACTCACTTATACAACTAAATATGACAAAAGAAAATAAGATAATAAATGGGTCAGCTTATTTCATGTTATACAAAATGATATTAGGCTTTGATTGCAACAAGTTTGGCATGTAAGTATTCTAAACTAACGACTTTATGCATCTTAGTTTGTATCATCCGACATGTATATAGTTTTCAATTTTGGCGATCATATAAGATAACGGTTCCAAAATAAGCCGTAAATACCTAACAAGAAATGAATGGTAGTGTATAAAGCAATCATGGAGCTATCTACACATACCAAAATCCAAAATTAAAAAATAAAGTAGAACCGAAAGACATGGAGAAGGAACAGTAAACTCAATCAATGAGACAAAGAAACGAAACAAAAAGAATCAAGTTATAACAATAAAACAACTAAAATTAAGTGGGTCCAATTCCTATTGAGAGGAAAAACTAATTAACAACATGCATGTATACAATCATATGCTCAGTAATGTTCAAACTTCAAAAGCTAAAGCCAAAAACCATATCAATATTCGTAAGATGCTGGAAAAAAAAACGCCGTATTATGTTTCAAGTATGTAAAAGGAAAGGAAGCTATGGTACTAACTACCAAGTCAAAATTATAAAATTTGTTCTCTAATTTTTTTTTTTTTTTTTAATTGCTCTTAAGATTTTTTAAATAAAATCTTTTGGTGACAACCACAAAAGGCAAAACGATGAGAGAATGAACGGTCGAGTTTGAAGTAAGAAGTAATCAGTACTTTGTTCACTGGTCCCTGTGGGTGGTTGGTTGTGTACGGGGACTCGGGGAGGTTGATGGACCCATCACTCATCACTAAACCTTGGACGAGTAATTAATTAATTAGTGTTAATAGTCTATAAAACTCATTCTATCCTAATCAAAATGTATTTTTTGTCCGGTTAGCTCTAATCGCCAGTACTTTCACGTTTGTTTAGCAACAAAGTTAGAGTCCTAAGCATAAAATCAATGTTGATATCCTTTATTATTGTCGTCATTTCATTGCTAAACCAACAACGCTGAAATGAACACATAGTTATTTGTTGTCGACCAAAAACAATTCATGTACGAATAGATGTCTAGTTAAAGAGATAAAACATGGTGAAATGAACAATTCATCAACACTTGGGTAAAATCTAATCATTTATGTTGAATGAAATATAATGAAAATTATACTCATTCTACTAAAATAATGACCATAATAAAAAGAGAAATGTGTCAAGGACTTTCATAAAAGTTGGACTGGCACTAGTATCCATCCAGTCCATTAATCAACAATTTGTGTTCTTGGTTCCAAAAAAAAAACAGAATTCACGTCTATAACGCAATCGCTATAAAAAAAAAACAGCGATCAAGAATATAAACCAAAACGTGGTTATGAGACAAAAAAAAGAAAAGAAACTTCATCTTCCTCAATGAGACATTACATGATCACGCATCCTTTACCCGACGAACCCGACGTCCGATACTGCGGTTCTACGTAAGCGTAACTATGCACCGGTCTTGACGGTGGCGCCGGTAGACTATAAGACGGCGGTGTTGTATGCGGGTTAGTCACCTGCCGTGGTGCCTCCGTATGCCGCGGCGGATTAGACGCAGGGTGAGCATAGTTTCCGCCATAAACATACGGCGGAGGAGGGTATGGATACAACGAGGGATATGCATAATTACCACGGGCGGTGGAAGGAATGTAATATCCTGATTGACCGTAATAACCGCCGCCGCCACGAGGAGTCATAACTTCGCCTTCGAAACGGAGATTAGTGATCTTTCCATGTTCACCGTACCGTTCAATAACAGCCAACAATATATTAGGGTTAACGCTCGCCTTGAGTTTCATTGAGTTGTCGTCACTCACGAAATCCACAGAGTAAACTCCTGCAGTAAGTAATATTGGAAATTTTGAATATCAACAAGAATCATCAACAAAACAATATACACAAACAAACGTAGACAGACACGTACCGTTGACACAATGCATCACTTCTGACACTTTTTGCCGACAAAGCTCGCAGCTTCTGTTCACTTTCATCACACAGCTCTACAGAGTTATTAAACAACATTTCTTATTAAGGAAGAAAAAAACACACACATATAAACATGAATCAAATCAGAATCGTTTGGCTAACCATATCGACAGTGTAATCCATTGCTGAAGCTTGTGAATTCGTTTTGTTTGGTTGCTTGGTCTAACAGCTAAACTACACAAGTTAAATGGGTAAAACGTCTAGATTGTTATAGTTTTAAGGCAAGTGTATCTGATATTTGATCGCAGATGAATATTGTCTTTGCCTAAAATGGCGTCTTTTAAAGGATATCGGATTCCGAAAGGGATAATTTGATATCTGAATAATCTTGTAATGAATCCTACAGTTTATGCTAATTAATTATAGATTGCGATATTGTGATGAAAATGAGAAAACAAATCATTTTTATATACTCTGTATCTTGGAAATAGAAGATTGAAGAAATGAGAATGAATATATATATGCATATTCATCTTCGCAATATGAAAATTTAAACTTTATTCAAGACATAAAATCTCTAACATTTAGAAAGGAAATCAAAGTTCCGAATAATAAAAATTGAAAAAAAATCACAAGAGAGACCAATATAACCATGTTCCTTGCAAGTGGACTCATTGGTAGTGATAACAAGATACGAGCCCAACATAATATCGCATTAAGACAGTTAAACCAGTTGCCAAACACTGATCAAGCACTCTTAATCGTCAAACAAGCCAGACGAAGAGACCGAGCTGGAATAGTCCGATCTCGAAGAGACCGAGCTGGAATAGTCCGAACTCGAAGAGACCGGGCTTGAAGAGACCGGGCTTGAAGAGTACAGACTCGAAGAGACCGGGCTGGAAGAGTCCGAATTCGAAGAGACCGGGCTGGAAGAGTCCTGATCCGAAGAGACCGAGCTGAAAGAGTCCGAGCTGGAAGAGTCCGAGCTGGAAGAGTCCGACGCCAGACTTAAAGAGAGCAGAAATGAAGAGGTATCCGAAATTGAAGAGACCTGACTGGAAGTGGCCTCTGAACTTGAAGAGACCGGACTGGAAGTGGTCTTCTTCTTACCAGCGGACAAGTCTGGTAGGTACCGAAAGTAACTCTGTAGCTTGCCATTCTTCACTAGCTGTGTTGCTTCATCAATCTTGCCTGCACCCATCAAACGCTCGACCACGGGTTTGTACATGTTCGGGCGAGACAGGAGCTTGTGTTTGATGGCTTCTTCGGAGATCTCAACCGCTCTATCTAGATCACCTTTCTTGCAGAGAAGAGGGATCAACAAACAGTAAGTCACTGTATCAGGAGTCAGACCCTTCTCCTTCATCTCATTGTACCATTTCATAACCTCCTCAAGGTTGTTATCACCGCGGTAAGCCGTGATGAAAGCATTGTATGTATGAACATCTGGGGAGATCCCTTCAGTTTTCATAACATTGATCAAGTCAATTGCATCAGTGAACTTCTTGTTCCGGGTCAGACCTCTCACTCTAGAGTTATAACTCCTAATGTTGGGAGCAAGATTCTTGGATTTCATCAAATCCCAAATCCTATCTCCTTCAACAAACAATTCCCTCCTATAAAACTCTTCTAACAGAGTGTTGAAAGAGATCAAATCAGGCTCAAACCCATTCTTCTCCAGCTCCTCAAAGATAGATAATATATCATCCATAGAGCCTGTACGGCAAAGTGCCTTGATCATGGTATTATAAGTAACCAGATCAGGAGTAATACCTAGCTTCTCTGGCAACTCCTTGAAGGCCTTCTTGGCCTCATCAAGCTTCCTTGAATTAACATAAGCCGATAAAAGCGCATTGAATGACTTCACAGTTCGTTCACAGTTTAGCTCAGGCATTTCATCGAACAACTTATGCGCATGCTCAGCCATTCCTGAGTATCCATAAAGAAGCATTATACGGATAACGAAATCCTCCGACTTTATGTCATCGAACTTCTTCTGGTATTGTAGAACTTCATGGATCGTTGAGAACTTCTTTGCTTCCCTGAGACGGCGAATAAACGCACTGTAGAGTCCATGGACTTGCCGGAAACCCTCCGACTCACAAGATCTCTTGAACTTCTCTACTTTCTTCGTCAATTTCGAATTTTTCGATTCCTTGGCGTCATTCGACAAATTGCCTCCGTCTCCTACAGAGGCGGAAGAAGCGGTGGATGCCTTCAATTTACTAGGGAATTTGTTGGATTTGGTTTGGCTTCTGGGTTTTGCGGACTTAGCGGTGGCGATTGAAGATTTTTTGAAGATTCCATGGAGGCGAGTGTACAGTGACGAGCCCACCTTGCTCATAGCTTCGTGCAGGTGGTGAAAATGTCGGAGTTGAGTGTGAGGGTTTTAGGGTTTTGGACTGTTTGGCTCCGGCTAGGTCTTAATGCAGAAAATGCGAAATGCGTCTTGTTTTAACAAAATAGAACAGCGTGCCGTTCTTTCTCACTGGACTACGCAGCGTTTTTGTGTATAACTATCGATTCCATGTCGTTTTTTTCCAACAAGAGAAGGAAATAAGAAAATTTCTTTTAACTTTGAAAACTGAAAGCAACACAAACACTACAGATAGTTCAATTATTCAATCACCGCTCTCGCAGTTTGCAACAAGACACTAAAGAGACGAAACATAGACTAAATTAAAAACTAGTTAATAAGCCTTGCCAATGAACTACTCTTTGGGAGAGAGACGTAGCTTGCACTGCAAATAGTCATTCGTCTTTGCGAGCTCGACAATCTCTTCAGCTTCGTCTTGCTTGGACCCTTTCACCAATGTATCAACTACCTCCTGCAAGACAGCCTCATCGACTAGCAGACGCTTAACGAATATCTCCTTGCAGAGCTCATAAGCAGACTCTAAATCGCATGCCTTACATATTGCAGGAAGCAATGAGTTAAAGACAAATTTCATTGGGCGGCAACCATTCTTCTCGATTTCCTTGTACCACGTTATGGCTTCATCCAATCTTCCTTCACCGGCAAATCCTTTTATCATAGCAGTGAATGTGAAAACATCAGGTTTCAACTCATTAACCTTAAGTTCGTCAAAGAGACTAACCATCTCTTCTGATTTCTTCTCCATGGCTAGTCCTAACAACCGAGCATTGTAACTACGGATGTCTCGCTTAACCTTCTTCTCAACCATTCTAGCCCATATCTTTTCTCCTTCCTCAAACTTCCCTTTTGTATACGACTCATGTAAAAGTATATTGAAAGTTATATGATCAGGTTTCAAACCCTTGTTCTCAATCTCATCAATCAACGCAACAGCTTCAGTGAAGGAACCTTTTCCACACAATCCCTTGATCAAAGTATTGTAAGATGCAACATCTGGTTCAATCGAGATCTTACCTGGCAACTCCTTGAAGATACTTTCAACCAAATCGAACTTCTTGGAGTTAACACACGCATTCAGTAATGCGTTGAAAGACAACACTGTTCTTTTGCAGTTTCTCTCAGGCATTTCGTCGAACACTTTCTGTGCATTCTCAAACATACCGACTCGTCCGTAGAGATTGATAATCCTCGCCACGAATCCTTCCTTTGACATGTTTGGATACTTATTCTGCTCCTCCAAGATCTCCTCGACCCACTCAAACTTCTTGGCTGCAGCGAGACGGCGAACGGTCTTCTCATAGACGGCTATATTCTTCCGGAACCACTCTGCTTGGCAGGCTTTCTTGAACTTCTCCATGATGAATTTGGGGTCGCGTTCGTCATTTACGAGAGTGATGAGGGATGGTCTGGGTGACGAGGGTGTGGCTGCTGCAGCGGTAACGGCGGAGAAGAAGCGGCGATTCGTGGGGGTGCTCAAGCTTAAGTTGCCACGAAGGAGAAAGCGAGAGAGAGACGACATCGGTTTTAGCTGTGTGCAAAGGTTTTTTTCTCTTGTTTTGGATCGGTGTTCGAAGGTTTTAGTCACAGGGGAACGGCTTTAGTACTTCAAATTAGGTTTTGGTAACAATAGAAAGCAAATGAACCCTAAATTACTTTTGTATTATTCAAAATCAAATTTACTTTTGTATTATTCAAATTCACTCATTAGTGAATTACTTTGTATCATTAAAAATTAAAAACTGAGATTTTTTTTATAATCTGTATATTTATGATTTTCCATTAAAGTTATGTTCATTTGCCCCATCTACCAATGCATTGGGTGTTTGCACTAAAAAGCTTAGGAGTCATAAAAAACGATGAGCATTACCTTGAGTTGGAGACTCGTATGAAGCTCAAGGTGAGCTTACCTCACGACGAATCTTAGAAGGAATATAAACCTCTGACAAAAAGGACAGTGAGTGAACTGAGAGTGCTTCGATCTCAAACTTCACTCCTCTTTTCAGCATCGTTTCAAGTTCCAACCTTAGACAACCAAAATCGTTTTGATCAAAACTAGTTTTTCTACTCTTGGATGAAATGTAAATACCAAAAGACAGGGAAGTTTGTTTATACCTCCATCGCGGCATTTCACGCTTCAGGTAGCATCTAAGCAACAATGCTTCAGTTCTTTTCTTATCTGTTAGTGAAAATTGTTACAGACTCAAAAAAGGAAGCAGTGAAAAATAGGAAAATCTAAAGATTAAGGCGATAATAAGGTGTTTAATGATCTCTTACCTTCTTCTGTCAAAGGCAAAAGACACTGTTTGGGAACACTGTATATCTCAGAGTCTGAAGGAAAAGCTCCCAACCATTTCATATCTGGTGCTCGTAATGATTCAATATCATAGGCCATTTGCTTACAGAAAAATAACAAGTAACATAAGGAAAATGGTTCAAAATGAAATGGGTCAATGCCATATGGATCACTCTCAACAAAAACAATGCAAGCGGTGATATTTTTCGAGTTCAGTCATCTATATTTTGTAACAGAATCTAACCATGGAGCCAAAACGGTATGTGGCTAGGATCTCAAAGCCATATGGATCACAGTCGACTAGACAATGCACAGGTAGATGCAACTTCTCCATGAGGAGTCGCAAGAACCTGGAAAGAATCTGTGTTATTCGCTGATATATATATATATATATATATATCAACAGAAGATAATGTCTGATACAATAGTATTCCAAGAACCTGAGATTATGTTATGTACCTTCTTGTTGAGACATCTGGATATCCTCTTCCCTGCAAAAAACAATCGTACCTTTGATGTGAAACAAAAAATGGAAAGAAAAACTAGTCAAAACTGAAATCAGTACGAATGAATCAAATGCAGTGCTTACTGTGATAACAATGCAGCGGTTCGTCTTGCAAAACATGTCATTTGCTAAACGCTGGAATACTATAAACCAGGGATGAAGTGATTGATCAGTTGGTAGTCATAAAGAAAAAAAAAAAACCATCTTCCTGGTTACTATACAGATAGAGGGTTTTACCTGTTTCTTTTTCTACAACCAGTATGTACTCTGCTAAGCTAACAATATCTGCAAGCAGGAAGATGACATACAATTATACTTCCTGACGCCAACATAAAAAGTGAATCTTATATTTCCTGATGTCAGCTGAGATAAGAGAATTTGACTTCTCCAGAGAGCATAAAGCATCATTTAAAATGATTGCAAATATATGATACCTTCGACTTCCTCTACAAGAACAGGAACGGGATATGCCTGAAATGAAGTAATTTGCAGAGTTATATACTTCCTGATGCCAACATAAAAAGTGAATCTTATGTTCCAATTCTTACAGTGTTCAAGCTGTTTAAACAATCAAACTTTCTTCCAGCTTCCCTAAATTTTAACCATCCCATCACCAACCTACAACACAAAAGAATGATGAGGTGGATCCTAAAAGAAAGACATGCCTCAAGATAGAAACACTGTACTTGTTATCAAGAGTACCCACCCGTTTCCAACAGAAACCTACAAAAATATCACATGAATCACATCCTCAATCGCGGATTATAAATCTTCAGAAGTAACATCGAAGGTGAAAGTATTCAAGTACTAACCACATTCAAGTTGTACCGACTACACTGAAAAAGAATGCATATATCACCAATGGCGCGGTCCACAATGGATTGTGCTGTGTAGCAGACGAGAACAGTGTTACTAGAAAAGGCGAAGAAGACAACAAGAGTGATGCATAGCTAATATATGTGAATGTGAATTATCCAGAACAATTAACCAGAGACATCCATAACTAAAACATTAATGTTCCTTTTAAATTTACCTTTGAATGCTGAAGGATGCATGTAGTAGATATCTCTTTTGGATGCATGTCTATTTTCTTGAAGAAGTTGTTGGACAATCAACAATACTCTTAGCAACATATCTGAAAGTAAAAACACCGCAAGAAATTGCATACCGTGATACTCTAAACCAAGATAACACTGATGATGGACTTGTAGAATTATCTGAAACCTGACTCACCGATTCTGTAGGTTTGGGGTTTCCTCTCAAGAGTGAGAATTTCCTGACCCTTTGGTGTATCAGAGCTGCATAAGCTATATTATATATATAGACCGCAGAAAAATCGATGAATTAGTCCAGACTCTTAGTTTTAAATACTCGTTGTGCTTAAATCCTTCAAAAATTTGCTCGAACCAAGACCAAACACGTCTGATTTTTCAATCTAGAGGCTACGAAACGTGGTCGTCTCTCTACAATAGAAGAAAGAAGGAGAAAACAACTTTGAAGGGAAAAATTGAAAATCGAGATCCAAGAGAGACAAACCAATCCGCTTCTGGATTGATGCAATAGTTCCTGAATCGATTGATGGAAATTTTTGGAGATCTTCCTTCAGCCAGATCTTCAACGATCGATCGAGTAAAATCTGCTCAAAATCGAAATCATCGACTAGAAATTTCATCCTAGCTAGAGGACAAATTTGGGATTTTCTGATACCTTTGATCCTTTGAAGCAAATTAGTCGTTTCTGAAATCGGAAATTTTCCCTCCATCTCTTTCGTGTATAATTTTTTCAAAACCGAAAAATGAATGCAATGGCCGACTATTTTTTTTGTAGACGGGAACAAGTGAGGGAGGGCTGCAAAAACCTTGCCGTTATAAACTTAAAACGAAAACATGCGTGTCGTTTTTTTTTTATGATGTTGGGCCGTTGCCATTTTTAGGCCCGATCCTTAACTGACGTGTCATCTTTGTTGAAATGTTCTTATTAGTGATACTGATGCCAATATACTTGTCACTTGGGAGTCTTTTTTTTTTGGGGCAGCCTATGATATGAGTGAGTCATATATATATATATATATGCACTAATAGATTTGAAATAGTTTAATGTATATGGTAAATTAGATTAGAATTAGTTCTAGTGGTCGAGATTTGTTCATAAGTTTTATGCTCGGGCACGTGATTAACGTACCAAAATGTTCGAATCTATGCTATTCTAATCTTTTCTTCTCTATGATAGCTTCTTCACCTAAATTTTTATAGAATCTAAGAATATACTACTTTCACCTATTTTACCTGATAACGAAATAGTGATGATTATTCAATACAAAAAAAAAATTGTTAAATAAAAGAGGCCTCCTGTGTATTTGAGTATTTCTAACTAAAATACAACAGTGATAACATTTAAAATGTTTTCTTTCGTTTAATTAGTAAACAAATGAAAAGCTGTCGCGTCGGTGGTTGGATTTCATTCGGAAAGATTTTAAAAGTAAAACCATGCACGGATTTTAAGGTCGTTCAACATTTTTTTTTTATAAAGTAAATCATATCAAAAATGTAACGTATCATATCAACTAATGATATGATTTTTATGCTTAGACAGAATCATCGATTAAAATAACAAAAAAACAGCATAAAGCAAGATTTATTCTTATTCCTCGTGAAATATTACATTTGTAATTTTGTTTTCTCTAGTATTAAAAAGGAACAACTAATTAACGGAAATACTAAAAGGAAGAGAGATCTCATACTTAGTCAAGTTTGGTGAAGCTATCAAACAGAATGTCTTCGTGTTGTCCGCCGACGACATAGTCAAGAATCCCTTCCGCCGCCACTTTTAAGCCGGCGCCTTCGCCTGGGATGATGGTAGATGAAGCCGGAAGGTCGGAGGTGCGTGCGAAGAAGAAAACAGCGGCGAGAAAGAGAGCGGTGGAGAGAATAAGTGGCCAGAAGTAAGATAAAACGGTGAGGAAACCGGGAGAATAAGTGACGAGGGCTACGGTGAGGAGAGATAAAACAAAGGCAAAGACGATTTGGAACTTAAACTTCAAAAGCTTCTCCCGGAACTCCATCTCCGATCACCGACAAAGATCTGTGACTGTTCACTTGTGTTAACACGAGAAAGATAGACTGAAGAGAGATAGAGATATCTAAAAGAGAGATACAATGCTAACTCTCTCTCCTCTGAGTGTGTCTATACGTAAAGAAATAGGAAAGATTCTCTGCTGACAAGGATAACGTCAAAATCTGAAGTAATTTTTTTTTTTATGTCATAGTTATTTATTTATTTATTTTATTTTTTCATCCGTTATTTTGTTTTTAAACGCGTTTGAAAATTATAGTACTGTTTTGCTTCAAACTTTTGGTTCAGTGACTTGTATGAACATTTTTTTGTAAAGTTGTCGTAAAAGTCAAAGAATGAAACATTTTCTGACATAAATAGTAAATCGTACGAAGATAAAATAATGATTAAGAGAGATATTTCAATTCAATTATAATTTTTGTCCGTTTTGTATGATTGATTTATCAACTTTAGATTTAGGCGTACCAAACTATGATATGGGCCTTTATAGCCCGATTTGTTTTTCTAACAGACATTATTCTTCTTGGGAAGTAAAGTATCAATCTCGCAAACGCTGAGGCATTCCCTGATTTCCCTCCCTTTATATTGTTCGTAACATATGTGTTTACATATCAACAAACAATTAGCATCTCTACAAGTTTGCTTTTGCTTAGCCTTTAACGTCACAAGGCTCGAACCAGACGAGCTGCAAATGCTCCATCTAATGAGTGCTTCACTGGGTTTGATAAAAAGAAGCCTTGCGAGGTTACAAAACTCGACGGTACGAAACTGGTTACTGGATCTATGGAGAACTCCTGTGAAAGCAGAAAGACTATTTGTTTATATCAACATCTCAACGCAAGCAAATGGACTATAAAGATTCTTACAGGATGTCTTTCGAGAAATGCTTCGACCCTTCCTTCATTTTCTTCAGGGTCTATAGAGCAAGTACTGTATATCAAGACCCCACCGTGCTTCACCAGTCTTTTGGATTTTCATTCAGGAGCGTCACATAGAAGAGTATCAGATAGGTTTCACATAAGTGTTTCAGAATTAATTGAGTGACTGATCAAAATGTATGTACAGAGTGCATACTTGGAGGCAGAATCAAGAAGATCATCCTGCAGTTCTGTGAGCTCTACCATGTCCTCAAGTTTACGGTTCCATCGCAAGTCTGCTCTCTACAAAACACAGAAAAACGGATTTGGTTAATCAATTGATAAGTTCAGGTCAATTCAAATAGCAAAGGAAACCTTGCTGGCAAAACAGTTAGATAAAACTTCTCATGTTAACCTTGGAGAGGACGCCGAGTCCAGAACACGGGGCATCTAGCAAAACTTTGTCATATTGTACCTCACTGGCTTCCTAAAACACATTAAATTGGAAGCAAGCATGTGAGTAGCTTACAAACCAGGAAACTTCAGTTACTCAAATAATGTTGACTTACAGCAAAGACACGAAGATCGGAATGAATGGTTGTGATAAGTCCATCAACTTGGTGTGATTTTGCAGTCTCACCAAGAATTCTCAGCCGTCCTTCATTCACATCCATAGCATATATCATACCTACAACCGATGCGAGTTTGCCAGTTTGAGGATGGAATTAGTCAAGTATAGTAGCAAAGTTGCTCAAAATAGATGATTAAATTCAACATTGATGTGCACTAAAGGAAAATAAGGTCTTTGTAATATTACCTTGGCCTTTCAAGCAAGATGCCATGAATAGGGTCTTTCCTCCAGGAGCAGCACATGCATCCATTATCCTCTCGCCTGGCTGAGGTTTCACCACTGAGACTATTAGTCCTGCAGTACCAGATGTGGGAGATATGTAGATATCAAAAGAACAAAAGGATTTGGATAAACTTAAATCTGTTTACAGCAAGAAGAACTAGTGAAGAGAAGACTGTATTCTTTCTCAGTAGCAGTCCAAATAATTACAAGACCAAACTGACCTGCACTCTCATCCTGAACTGAACAGATGCCTTCTTTCAGTAAACCAGCTTGCACAACTATCTGTTAAAAAGAAAAGAACAATGATCAATTTTGAAACTTATCAGCAACAAAAGCAAGGAGTGTAGCCAGAAAAAATGAGGATTTAAGCAAATTGTCAACAAGAGGACAATTCACGGTTACATTATAAACACCTGCAAGCCTGTTTTGATGCGGACAAATTCCTCCAAATGTAAGGACAGCTCGTGTGGAACCTGCAGTATAGGAAAGCCATAACTGAAGTAAAACAAAGCATAAAAAACAATCATGTGCCTGGTTTTACACCAACACAATGATCCACCTCGGATAAGAAAAGAACGTGAAAGATACCTTTAAACTGTTTAGACGCTCCACAAGGTCTGATCTTGCAATGCCCCTTCCCGTATTGGCTCTGATATCACTAGAAAAGTATTATCTGCCTGACAGTTGATAGCTTATCTTTCCGTGTGAAAGCAAAATGAATTCTGGAGATAAACCTTAAGCTAAATCCAGGATCATTGTTGTTCCATGTCATCAGCGTTGTGGCTTCTTCCAACCCAAGATACTTTACCCATCGCCTAACCATCCACTGGGTAAGGAAAGGAAAGAAAATGAGAGTATATTTCATCAAACAGAAATAAGGCTCCATTGCGGTTGTTCAGCATTAATAATCATCCTCACAGCTAAAACCCACTAATCTAAGAGACTCACAAGTTCAAAGTTCGATATCATAACAACAAATTGCTCTAGCTTCATATTAAAACCGCAAGCAAAAGATGAGGTTATAGCTATACAAACTTACAACAGGATGTGAATGAAGAGTAGCAAGTGCACGTGCTTGTGCACGATCATCCCCTTCCACTTTGGGTAATGGAAGGGCGTCTTTTTCCTGCAGATCCCTACGTCAGAATTCATAGAAGCTGAAGTTTGTTTGATTAAGTTAAACTAAAAAGAAAAATGAAAAGTAAGGAAGAGAAACCTTAAGAGAGACAAGCTTACGAAGAATCCCATTGACAAAATCTCCAGCACCAGGTCTGAGGGCAACCTTTGCAAGCCTTACGTTCTGGAAATGAGCAAGTAAACAATAAAGATAAAGAATAAGAACGACTATATCAGAAAAAATCTTTGACCTCACTAAGTTAGTAGGAAGAAAATTATGCAGAATATGATTAAGGCTATTTGGCGCTCATTTCAATGACCAAATCTACCTTTGGAACCATTTATAGAGTAAATTGAGAAAGAAAATACGTAGAAACTAGTGCTACTTATACCTCATCAACAACAGCATATGGCGGCATATCACGCTTAATGATCTCATATACACCAATGCGGAGAATCTACAACAGAAAACAAGGTTTAAGGTTTGAGAGGCGCGATAAGTTTGACGACATTGCTGGTAGTCTGCAAAGTCTGACAGCGACAAACAAAATTCACAAAGGGAGTTGAACCTGCAATAGAAGAGGTTCCATATTTCGAAATGTTCTTTCGTTGTGGCAAAGGGAACCAATCAAATGATCAAGATATCTCCTCCAACGTATTGTTCCTCCAACAACATCAGTAACCTAATTATTTGCAAATAACTGACTTTAGGAAATCACAGTTTTTCCAAATCGTAAGAAGTAGTTATCATCAGTCTCCAAGATTTAAAGTAAATGGTCTAGAACAAGATAAGAGTGGCAACACTAACCAGTCTAAGATCCCGGTCATCCAAATCGCGAGTCCGAAAACCGATTGTCCTCTCAACATAACTCATCTCATTGCTCCCAGACCCTTTTCCTTTCTCATTCAGAAGATCAGCAAACGCACCACCGTACTCAATTCTCATCAATCTGACTGCAGATACTGTTCAAGCTCCACAAACAGAACTGATATAAGATACTGGTAAAACTCAATTCCACTCATCAATATTGATAACAGACTCCAAAAGACTAAACTTCTAAGTACTCGATAAACACAACAATTCTACGTCAATCTAGATTGCCAATGTAACAATATATCACCACTCAGTTAGTGAACGTAACTAAAGCAATGGATTACTCTACCAGCTCTATGTGGAGAAACCTCCAAATTCAGATTCTGGGGCTTCCGCGACGGAGCCCCCGGACCTGCAAAATAAGAAATTTCCAAGTAAAGAACAGAGATTGAAGACAGAACCAAGCAGAACAACGTCGATACTGCCAATATTTTTCTATTTTCATAAAGAAACCAAAAGCAGTAGAGAACCATTTACCTCTTCTATCTTGCGAAAAGGGTTTTCGAGTCTTTGGGGTTCGCTTAAAAGACCCTGGAGAAGCTTTCTGCGTTTCAGCAGATAGATACACACGGAATGAGAGCAATTGCGCCATGGATACTCTCTACTGCTGGAGCTAGCTAAACCTGGGATTATAAAACTTTATCGTACTTTCAGAACAAAACACTCTTTTTCGAATAGAGGGTTCCTCTGGAGTATCGAAGCAACTATTAATGGGCCTAAAGCCCACACTTTGCGGATCTGATTTTAGTTCAATTTCGGCCTTTCTACTTTTTTTTTTCTTTTCAAATCTTTACTCAAGGGCAAAAACGTAATTACGTGCAAAGTCTTCTTCCCCAGTTTTCTTAATTTGGTAACCCTTGTTGCAGGCGGCTGTTGCTGCTCGGGTCTCTCGTCTCCATTTTTCCGATTAGTAAGCGTTTATTCACTCTTTTTGTCAAAATTTCACAATGTTAATGCTAATTGACATATATTCACTATCAAAAGGTAATCTTTTATTTGAAACGTGTTCAAATGTTGAAAAGACTAAAACTTTCACGGTGTTTCTGTAAGATTCAACTAGGAAGTCATGTGGTTCAGAATAGTCATTTCACGTGCAGCGACAGAGATAAAGTAAAAAAAGAAAAGTATAAAGACCCGTGACCTCTCTCTTGCACGGACGTGACACGTGAGCATGATTGTACATTAGAGACGAAGCTTCGTGCCCTCTTTCCTCCTTCCATAGTTCCATTACAGTGTTCTTAAGGTACTACAACTTCCTAATGCACAGTTTCTTTCTTGGTGTTTTGGTCTAATAAAGAAAAAAGGATACTTTCTCTTCAGGGCATTGCTACTTCTTAAAGTTCTTCCCATATTTCGTCTCTTCCTTCGTCTGTATTATTAACAGACAGCCAAATCTTTTTTGTCGGTGAAGTTTGGGAGTGGATGGCTACTTTTCATACCGTTAAAGATGCGGTGAAGCTCTTTGACGCAGGTATTTCTGGAGGAAAACACATCAACAAGAGACAAGGACAGGTACTATACTTTTGTGTTTCTTTCACTCTCTGTAACATTTGTGTTTCTTGGTGTGATAGATTTTCTGAAAAAAATTGGTTATGGTTGCAGGGAGTGTTGGTGGAGGAGACAAATCTCTGTCTCTGGTCTAAAGAGGTTAACAAGTTGAAAGAAAAGATAAAGAATGCTGAGAAGACCAAGATTGAGGCTTTGTTAGAGCTTGAGGAAGCTAAGAACACGGTTGAGCATCTCAGTCAGAAGCTGGGAATTAAGCAGACCATGACAAATGATGAGAAAGATTTAGATTTGAGTAGTAGTGTAAGAGTTGTGACTTCTGAGCTATGTGTTGCAAAGGAATCGATTCATAGAGTAGCTGAAGAGGAGAGTGAATTGTGTATGTTAATGGAATCTCTGAAGCTCGAGCTTCAAAACGTGGAGAAAGAACATTCAGAGCTCAAAGAGATTGAGCAAAGAGAGAGGGATCTAGAAGCCATTGAGGATCTGGATAAGGAAACCAAAGCTGCAAAGGCAGAGCTCTCGCTGTTAGAAGAAGAGCTCAAGATTGTTCTTTTCGAGGCTCGAGAAGCAAAAGATGCAGAGGAACACGCCAGGGAACGGCTAAATGTTGCAGTTTTAGAATCTGATTTCAGATCATCAGTTGAGGTGAAAGAAAGTGGTGCTGAAGAATTAACTGAGACAGAAGCTTTAAGAGCTTGCAGAGACGAAACACTCAAGACACTAGAAATGAGTGAGAGAGAGATTGAAGATATAAAAGCTGCAACACAAGATGCGTTGAAGAAAGCTGAGATGGCTCAAGAAGCTACAATTGCGGTGGATGTAGAGCTTAAACGACGGCGTAAAGCAGCGAGTAGGATTTTGGCAGAATCCAAAATGTGTGCCAAATCAACAAAGGAAGTCATCAAGTCAAAACCAAGATCAGCTTCAAAAGAAGGTTGTTTGGTCAAGTGTTAGAAGAATCTTGGTTTCTTTTGTAATTGTGAAAATCTGTAACTTATATAACTAGAAGAAATGCCACTTTGTTGGTTGTGGTGCGACCATTGTAATCATTCACTATCAGCAATCGTATAACTAGACAAAAAAACAAATTGATGATTTTGAAATTTGTAGAGTTAAAAAAAAAGTTAATTAAGGTCAATGAGTGATTTAAGAGTACTTAAGGTCGGTTAGTAAAAGATAAGATGGTAAATATAAATAGAAGGCTTGTTTTTATTTTTCACTTTCTTCTCTCTCTCGTAACGCGCCTGAGAGTCCTCTCGTCGTCCTTATCTCGATCTGGGCTGATTCGCTCTCTGATCGGAAATTAGGATTATTGTTTTCGAAAGATGACGACTGCAGCACGACCTACCTGGGCTCCAGCTAAGGGAGGTAACGAGCAAGGTGGTGCTCGGATCTTTGGTCCATCTCAAAAGTATTCGTCTCGTGATGTCGCCGCTCACACAACTTTAAAGCCAAGGTAAGATTTCGAAACTGGGTTCTCTTCCTTTGATTCGACGCGGATTAGACTACCTGTGTATTCAATCGGAATTTTAGCTGAGATTGTTGAGATTGTCCAGAAATCTAGGGTTTATTACTAGGGATTTTTAATACGGAGATTCAGAAAAGGCTTATGTACTTTGTCTTTGGGTTGCTGAGATCGGTAGTATTGTGGCCTGTTTGTTTACCGGCTTTCTTGTTGTAGTTTTTGAGGATCAACAGTTTGAAATTATGCTGCTGTGTAAGATATTTGATCTCTCTAGGGGCTTATTTGTGTTTGATATCGGAAATATACTAGTTTCTATTTAAGCATATCTGTCTCGTTGTTTATGGGATTCCATACTCACGTACGTCTCCTACTTTTTTGTTGTTTGGCAGGAGGGAAGGGCAACACACTCAAGAGGAACTCCAGAAGATAAATCTTCGTGAGGAGCTTGAAGAGCGTGAGAGGAGACATTTCTCATCCAAAGACAAATCTTACAGTGGTAAGATAATAAATTTCAAGCCTTTTCACTATGATTTTGCTAAGGTTCTACCTTTCTTTTAAACTAATGAGGTATTTTTTAATCATTAGATGATAGAGATCGCAGAAGAGGAAGTCAGCTTTTACTGGAAGGTTAGAGAAACTCATTTATTTATTTATGATCGGTTATTTGGGTCACATTAGATAGTTTGATCATATTTTTTCTAACCTGGATGCCCTCTCTTTAGGCTCTAAACGGGACCCTGAAGATCGGATAATTCCTCGCAGTGTTGATGCTGATGATTCTGATGTTGATATCAAAAGTGACGATGATAGGTACCTATTCTTCATCTCTTCTACTCCTGTCTTCCTCTTTGCAGTTCTTTACGATGTGATTTAAATTTGGCTAAGTGTGTCAAGGTTGGGGCTGATACTAGCCTAAGTGTACCTCCTTGCTTTTCATCTAGACCATAGTTTGGGAAAAAACAATTGATATTGGAGAAAATGTTAACTCCTGGCTTTCTGTTCTATTGTCGAGTTTTTGTTGACTTCAATACTCTAGTTCCTTCAAAAGTATCTTACAATCTGTTTATCTTTGTTAGTGATGACGAAAGTGACGATGATGACGAGGACGACACTGAAGCTCTTATGGCAGAACTCGACCAGATAAAGAAAGAAAGAGTGGAAGAGAGGCTCAGGAAGGTAATATTGCTATTGTCTGCGATATTTCTGCTCAGATTGCTATTAAAAATGGATAGGATAGGTTTTTTTAAACATAATGACATAACAAAGATTTCTCTTGTTAGAGTTAATGTACTAATTTTTGGTAACATATGTATCATGCAGGAAAAGCAGCAGCAGATGGAAGAGCTAAACGCTAAGGAAGAGGAACTTCTCAAAGGAAACCCATTGCTTAATACTCCAACGTCCTTTAATGTCAAAAGGAGGTTAGCAGCTTTTGAAATCCTGTTTCTTCTTGAATCTTGGGATTATATTAACTGTTGGAAGCAGATACTGAAAATTACTCGTCTCTTTTCAGGTGGGATGATGATGTTGTATTCAAGAACCAGGCACGTGGTGAAATGAAAGCACCTAAGCGCTTCATCAATGATACAATCAGGAATGACTTCCACAGAAAATTCCTGCACAGATACATGAAGTGATTGTTGAACAATGTGTTATTGCTACTTGTCTGTATGATGATTATGAACTAAAAGCTTTTATTCTGTCTGGAATTATGATGTCTCTGTACTCAAACAACAACAGTTTTAAGCTTTATATCAAAAGCTTATGCATTTGATTTAATGTTTTATCTCACAGATTCCTGCTTATATCTTATTCATCACTCACACCACGAAACTTCAAAATTGGAAATAGCTGTGTGAAGTGTGAACTTGCTTGCATCTTTCATGTTGTCCAACAAAACTTTAGTTTAGAGCTTGAAGTAGAAGCCATTGTAATTGTAGTACCTCGATGTTCCACAGTAGCAATCCATCTGTATGCTTCTGCGAATCTCTCAATGTTTGGGACTATGTCTTTGATCGTTGCAGAAAGTGTCTTGAAGTGGAAGATGTACTCGGTTTCATATTCAGATTGGGAGATCAGATCACTGATATACAAAGCCTTGTGACCTTGTCAAGCTTCTCAGTAGCTTTGATGTTAGCGTATAGCTCTACGAAATTCTCATACATTTCTCTCTCATGCTTATCGTTCCATAACTTGACCTCCATCTTTTAAAAACTGAAGAGATGTATCAAGTTCAAAATCAATAATACCAAGTTAATAAATGAATGTAGCTAATCATCATCATATCACAAGACATGGATAATCCAGTTTCCAAAAGTTTTGTATTAGGTTTTGGGCCTTTGAGGCCCATTAACAGCATAATATTTGGTGCGCCTATGTCACGCGGTGTTCAAAATCCCTTTTCTTCCCTCTTATCCAAAATCAGAACGCGATTCCATGGCCTCCGGCAAAGATTCCGACCGTAACCTAGGGTACATGACCCTGAAGGATGCGGAATTGAAGCTTCCACGGACGACCCGGGTCAAGAACAAGACTCCGGCGCCGGTCCAAATCACCGCCGAGCAGATTCTAAGGGAGGCTCGAGAGAGGCAAGAGGCTGAGATCCGTCCGCCTAATCAGACAATCACTGATTCGACTGAGCTTTCCGACTTCAGACTCCGACGTCGGAAGGAGTTTGAAGACCAGATCCGCCGTGCGAGATTGAATACCCAAGTTTGGGTCAGATATGCGCAGTGGGAAGAGTCGCAGATGGAATACGAGCGTGCTCGAAGCGTGTGGGAACGAGCCTTAGAAGGAGAAGCTTACCGGAGCCACACGCTCTGGGTCAAGTTCGCCGAGTTTGAGATGAAGAACAAGTTTGTCAACGAAGCGAGGAACGTTTGGGATCGTGCTGTTACGATCCTCCCTCGAGTGGACCAGCTTTGGCGCAATTATATCCACATGGAAGAGAAACTTGGGAATATTGCCGGAGTTAGAGAGATATTCGAGCGGTGGATGGATCGGTCACCGGATCAACAAGCTTGGCTCTGCTTTATCAAATTCGAACTTAAGTATAATGAAATCGAACGTGCAAGATCCATTTACGAGAGATTTGTTCTTTGTCATCCAAATGTTTCTGCTTATATTCGATATGCAAAGTTTGAGATGAAGCATGGTCAAGTTGAGCTTGCTAGGAAAGTGTTCGAACGCGCCCAGAAGGAGCTTGCAGACGATGAAGAAGCTGAGATTCTCTTTGTGGCGTTTGCTGAATTTGAAGAACAATGCAAGGAAGTAGAGCGAGCTAGGTTTATCTACAATTTTGCTCTTGATCAGATTCCTAAAGGAAGAGCTGAAAATTTGTACAGCAAGTTTGTGGCGTTTGAGAAACAGAATGGGGATAAGGAAGGGATTGAGGATGCCATTATTGGGAAGAGGATGTTTCAGTATGAAGATGAAGTGAGTAAGAACCCTTTGAACTATGATTCGTGGTTCGATTACCTTAGGTTAGAAGAGACTGTTGGGAACAAAGATAAGATAAGAGAAATCTATGAGAGGGCTATTGCTAATGTTCCACCTGCCCAAGAGAAACGATACTGGCAAAGATACATATATCTTTGGTGAGTTTTTTTCTATCCATATCCTTTTATAGATTTCGCTATTAACTTCTTATGTTGATCATGGTTTGCATAACAAGGTTAAGTTTTGTTTCGTGTAACTCAACTGTCTTAGGGCGTTATTAGTTCTATCATCTTTTTCGATCGTTTAGCACATTAAGGTTACTTAATAAATCTACTAAAACAGATTCTTGCATTCTGTGGAAAGCTTTTCTTGTTTTTGTTTTGTAGCGTACATGTTCTGCGGTTTTAATCAACCACTGACTCTGATGTGACTAATTGGTGTAGGATTAATTATGCTTTGTATGAAGAGATTGAAACTGAAGATGTGGAGCGTACCCGAGATGTTTACAGGTATTCTGAAACTTTTGAAGTTACATTTAGCTACTTCACTCGTGGCAGATTAGACTAACTGTTTGCATTTGTCTTACCAAACATTTCAGAGCATGCCTCAAGCTTATCCCCCACACCAAATTTTCTTTTGCCAAAATATGGTTGCTCGCTGCACAACATGAAATCAGGCAATTAAATCTCACGGGTGCACGACAGATATTAGGAAATGCAATTGGGAAAGCTCCAAAAGAGAAGGTAAGCCTGAAGATGGTTAATCTGGAAATTTTTTACATTATTGCTCATGTTTTACTTACCGCGGTGATTTTTTCCTTCTGCAAAACAGATATTCAAGAAATACATTGAGATCGAACTCCAGTTGGGAAATATAGATAGATGTAGAAAGTTATACGAGCGGTATCTTGAATGGTCTCCTGAGAATTGCTATGCTTGGAGAAACTATGCTGAGTTTGAAATGTCTCTTGCTGAAACAGAACGAGCTAGAGCTATCTTTGAACTTGCAATATCTCAGCCTGCTCTAGACATGCCCGAGCTGCTATGGAAGGTAAATTTTTTCAGTCTAATGCATCCAAAGAAGTGAAAGACATTTCTCAGACTTTTGAACCGATTGATCATTAAAGTCTCTATATTGTTTGTGGCAGACGTACATTGATTTTGAGATATCAGAAGGGGAATTAGAGAGGACACGGGCTTTATATGAGAGACTCTTGGACCGTACAAAACATTGCAAGGTGTGGGTTAGCTTTGCAAAGTTTGAAGCTTCTGCTGCGGAACACAAAAAAGACGAGGAAGAAGAAGATGCTATTGAACGCAAAAAAGACGACATCAGACGCGCCAGAGGTTTGAAGCTGCATGGTATATTATGCGTTTTGATGATTCATTGTGACAAGTTTTAACTGTTGTGTGTTTTCTTTCTTCTACTCAGCGATCTTCGATAGAGCCAACACATACTACAAAGACAAAACACCAGAGCTGAAAAAAGAGCGTGCTATGCTTTTGGAGGATTGGCTTAACATGGAGACGGGCTTTGGTATGCTCGGGGATGTTAGTGTCGTTCAATCGAAACTCCCGAAGAAGCTCAAGAAGAGAAAGCTGAGCAGTAGAGAAGATGGCTCTACAGAGTACGCGTTGCATACATATAATTTCCCGATTTATTATCTTTGGAATGTGAGAATCGAATGCTAAAGCTTAATGTGAAAAATTTGTTTGAATATATTGCAGGTATGAAGAATACATTGATTATTTGTTTCCAGAAGAATCACAGACGACGAATCTTAAGATTCTTGAAGCTGCTTATAAATGGAAGAAGCAGAAGGTTGTTAAAGCTGGGGAATGCGTCTAGAGCGGTTAACATAATGGTGTTATGCAATACTCTTCCAGCTTAAAAAAATATCATGATGTACTTACATAGATGATTATGTCTCTTGCAGTGTTCATATTATAATGAAATTTATAGATTTAGTTATACATTAGAACATTAACAGTCGATCAAGGTTTAGCCATTCTCTTCTCTCCTGAATTTCAATCAATAATGTAAACATCGATCGTGAGAGTGACACTAAAATCTAATTTTAGACCATTTCAGATAATTTCTCCTTTATTTTTATACTGCATATGTTTTATAATATGAGAGTTTAGTTTTTGTTTCAAAATATTGTTTGTATGATGGTTATGAACTAAAGCTTTTATTCTGTCTGGGATTATGATGTCTCTGTACTCAAACAACCAACTGTTTTTATGGTAAAGCTTATGCATTTGGCTTTAATGCTTTATATCCCAGATTCCTGATTAGCTCTTATTCATCTTTCAAAATTGGAAATAGCTGTATGAACTTGTTTTGTCATTTTCTTGTTTACATCTTGTTATCAAAGATGGCAAATACTTATTTTCTTGCGAAGACAGAAGTATGCACAGAGACGGTAGCCGAATGCCATAGCAAGCAGAACCCACAGTTCTTGCAAGCCGCCATTCAAGTTGACTGTGTCAAAGGACGATGAGCTTTGCAGTGTCCTGCACCCGCCTTTGCTCCCACATTCGAAAAGTTGGTCCGCTGAGTATTGAACTTTCAATAGCAGCCTGAAGCCGTAGTGCATGAAGGACAAGTACTTCAACCACTGCATGAATTTGGGTATGTGCTGCATTTCGAGTTCAAAAAGCGTGCGTCACTTTTTGTTATGATTCACTAGAAAGAGTAATCCATCAAGGTATATAAGTTGTGGTACCTGAACATAGTAACCTCCGGTTAGAAGAAACAGCATTAGTACCAAAGAGGCGATCATACCAGCTCTCTTAATGCTCAAAACTGAAGCTCCCAAGAACTCTCCTGCTCCCTGCAGTTACATTGGTAAAAATACATGTTTTAATAAGTTCGAAAAAGAGACAAGTTCTCGATATTTTCTCTGCTTACTTGGCTAGTTATGGCTATCAATAGTATAGTCAACACGGTGAAAAGGAAGCAGGGGATGGTCCTATTGAACCCAGCCATGAAGTAGACAATGATCATGAAGAATGTAGGGTACAAAACGTGTGCCACCATATCACATAGTGTACTGCATACGTAATACACACTTAGTCTGTACATTTCTGCTTTTCTTTCTTTCACCAGGTAGATCTTCTCGAAGGGGAACACATATACCGCTCCAAAGAGTGATGATGATGTCCAGAAGATGCAGATATAGAACATCAAACCAACCTGCAAGTAAGCTTACAAGATAAATAGAAGGCTTATAACTTTGGCATAATCACAAAATTTATATATGTAGTTTCCATACTTGGTCTCTAAGGTGCGCCTCTGTATCTGTCTTTGACTTCCACCAGAGAAGACCCAACACAACGGCCACACCAAGTGATTGAACTAGCCTTAGCTTATCAAAGTAGTCTCTACGCCGCTCTCTGAATGTTCTTCTTGAAAGAATCAAGAACTGATCCCACCATGAAAGAGTCCAATCCTTCTTCACTTGGATTGCTATTTGAAGATGCTCTGGGGCCTTTCTATTTCTATGGTTTTCTTCCTTCTCTTTTGGCTCCAAGTCTGTCTTGTACCTTTGTTTCAAGTACTGCAAAACATAAACACTAGAATTGAGTCCCATTATAACTCTTAGTATATAGTCTATGACTTCATGTGATCCTTACTTTCACTAAGACTTCCTCAGAATCAGGCTGAGCGGTTTTGGCAGACAATAGTTCGTCGGGTAGACTAATGTCTGACACTTGTCCGGTTGCCAAGTCTAGCAAGAACTCTGCTGGGTTCATTGCAATTTCAGGTAAGATTCTCAAAGATGAGAAATACTCCATAGATTCTTTGGCTTTGCCGTAAAAGGCAGGGTGCCCTTCTGAGATCAGTAAGAGCTTATCGAACATGTGAAACATTCTGCTTGATGGTTGGTGAATTGTCGTAATAACGGTCCTTCCTGCCTGAGAAAGACAAACTGAACCTTGTTCTTCCGTATCTTTCAAGAACTTTGTTAGTAATCTATTTGCATGTAAAAGAAATGTTGATACCTTAGCTACTCCTTGCAGAATATGAAGAAGTTTGGTGGCAGAAGTGGAGTCAAGTCCAGAAGTTGGCTCGTCTAGAAGCAACAGAGAAGGATCTACGAGAATCTCGTAAGCTATACTTGCTCTTTTTCTTTCTCCACCTGATATTCCCTTGACAAAACCTCCTCCAACTCTTGTCCGACGGCATCTTTCATTGTTTTTTTCAACAAAAATTTAGTTCAGAACAGCAACGAGACAAAGAACAACCAAAGGTTTGAAACAAGTGTTTACATGAAATGCGTCTAGACATCATCAAATACATGTTTGAAGCAATTCTAAGAGTTCTCACTATAAGTTGTACCTTTCAAGGCCAAGCTCTTTAATGATCATCTCTATTTTGGCGTATTTCTGTTCCTTGCTCATGCTACTTGGAAGTCTCAAAAACGCAGCAAATGCCAAGGTCTCTTCCACAGTAAGTTGTGGCAACAGAACATCGTCTTGCGTCACAAAACCAATTCTGGAGAACAATGAAAGATTAGTACATAATTGTATGATTCAGGTATGAGAAATATCCAACTCTGGTATCTAACCTCCTCTTAACAGATGGACTGTAAGGAATGTCATTATAGGTAAGCTTCCCCTTGACATTATCTGTCAATCTTCCTCCCATTATCTTCAAGAGAGTTGTTTTGCCACTACCCGAAGGACCCATCAGCGCAAGGATTTCGCCGGGACCTGTGCTTCCTGTTATGCCTTTCAAAATGTGTTTGTACCCATCTGGATCCGGATTCGTATGTGTTACCACCTTTGACACCATGGTTTTCACCAGGTTTGCCGAGCTAGCTTGACTGTTTCTCACCTTATACTCCACATCTTCAAACTGCATAATATAAAGAAAAGAGGCGAAACCAATGAGCTTTGTCTCGAAGAAGGAAAATCGGAAGCGAAAGAGAAAGAGAAACCTTGAGAAAGATGGGAAGTGGGGCATCTTCGAGAGGATAAGAGGAAACAAACTCTTCATCGATGTCAATCTCGGATGAGTATTGGTTTCTGAGGTAAGCTTGGGGCATGAACTCCATGTTGTGAACTATGCCATTGCTTCCTGTAATCTGCATTACATGATTTTCTTCAACTTCTTCTGTTGATCTTCTGATCTCCATGTTATTTTTCTTATTCTTGTACGACAAGAATATTGATATGAATGTAGGCTTGTGTTATATAACGGAAGAAGTGTGTGGATCAACTGTGTCAAACCTGAAACTTGCTTGCTTTTTGTGTTCTCTTTTTCTCTCTGTTTATCAGGGTGTTAGTTTGGTAGACCATATTCTTTCAATGTTTTTGTATTAAATGGAATTGACTTGCAGAAGGAAAAAATGAAATAAAATCAGTTTCTTTACTTATAAGTCTTATATGGTAGGCTAAAATCATTTACAATTATCGACTTGGCTTGCTCATTGGCGATCACATTGTGCTAACGTATGAGAATAAATGCTCATTTGCTCATATCAACTGATCACTTGTTTATATTGTAAGATTCAGAAGAATTACAGATAAACGAGATCCTTGAAGCTGTTTGGGGTACTCACAAAAAAAAAAAAAAAAAAAGGGCACCAATTTTCTTGTCCCCTTGTCAAATTGCCACATACTAATTTCTTCTTGCGGGGTGATGTATCCTAAGTATGTACACAAAATCACTCAAAATTCCAGACTTGAACATCTCTTACCAATCTGAATATGCATCTTTCTAGTAATACTCCTTGACCTAGTAGTTGTTCCCCAGATTTGTTAGTGCGGCTTGAGGTTGCTGATTAGTTATGTGTGAGGGTCCTATGGGTTCAGTCCTCGTAGATATAGTAGGAGGCGCCAGTACGGGCTGTGTTTGTTGGTATATTCCCGGGATCCCAGGCTGAATGGTTGGGAAAGCTATTGGGTGACCTTGAAGGGAAAAGTTGTACATGGGACTGGCCTGCAGATTGGCTAGACTCTGCCCAGCCAATATATACATTGAGCCCTGTTAAAAAAGGTATAGCATAACATGCAATGACAGTAGGGAGAGTCAGAGAAAAACTAACCAGTGGTCCAGTTGTATAAATGTTTTCCTTCTTTTCTTCCTTGTGGGTGGTGTTTACGGTGGCTGCTGATGGGATGTGGTTGAAAGCGTATAAAGCATATGGGAATGGAATTGTGGTAGGTGGAGAGTTGCCAATCTCGCTTCCTGGTTTGATGTGAGTGAGAGGTAGTTCAGCCCCTGGAGGTGCTGAAGCATCATCTCTGGGTGGTAAGTAAGACTGTTGTTGGAACCCGTTTGGGCTCAAGTACTGGTGAATGTATGGTTGCGGCATATAATAGGGGGGGAAATATGGACCATAAGGGAAAAAGTTTAGAGAGTATTGTTGCCTAAGGTGCATTGCCTGTTGAGCGGCAGCTATGGAATACTGGTCAGGGTAGGAGATCAGTGGAGCATCACACTTTGCAGCCTGAAATTACCAACAGAATAGAAAAGACAGTGATTAAGCATTGTATTCAAATTTCCAGGCAAGAAAAAACACGTGGTTGGCCTGATGCTGACAATGAATGCACAAGACTAAAAAGACATTGTGTGGGGCATCTTGATAATAACCAACCTGATGAGTGTCTGTGATTGGTAAAAACTCGTCCTTTACTTTATCTCCTTCTGAACCGTCTACAGAGAGAACAGTTTGATCTGGCTGCAATGTTAGCTCCTTCTGAGCTGCTGAATTTGAAATCTCATGATTCTTATCCTGAGAAAAAGTTGATACATCTTTCCTGCAAATCAAATTCATATAAAGGTATATCATATCAGAAACTCATTCATCTGAGACTCTAGATCAATTCATAAGAATATTGAAGCAAGTAACACTGTAAGATTTAATCAAAGTATCTATTAGTCACCAACCTAACTGATGCCCCATAGGCCGCTGTCCCATGAGAAGACTCACTATTGGAGTCATCACACCCAATAGTACAATTGTCAGAAGATGCCTCTCTCACAAAATTAGAATCGAAGCTCCCAAATGTCAGACCATTTTCCAGCATTTTGGCAACCTGAAGGTGGACAGGAAATGTTACGTGTGGCTGTTCACCAACATCTGACTTGAGAAGCGACTGATTCTTGCCTTTATTGGCTGCAACCTCACTCTTAATGACTGTTCCAATTAAAAAAAGCCATAGGTCGAATCACATAAGGGGCTGTAATCAAACTCAGGAACAACTTACTAAAAGAAAACAAAATGCACTTAAAGCTACAAGGATGAAGAGCATTTATCCAGTATAATTTATACCTCGCTCTGACGGTTGTGGGATCTGAGAAGTTCCATATACATCGTTCTCTACAACAGAATCTGATACAGCCACTGGTACAGTACTTGCTTTAGACTTATCCGGCTCAACAACATCTTCAGACAAAGAAGTAGACTTGGGGAGAGGCTGTTCCTCTGTGACTCCCTTGTTCACAGGGGAGATGATAGCATCTTGAAGTTTATGGTTACTGATTCCACTTGGAAGATTTATAGGGTTAGGGGCCCTGAAAAAGAATACAATGCGTTAGGAAGCCCATATCCAAACAGGGTATTAAAGACATGGACAGAATTATAAGTATGGATACATTATGGAAGAAGGTTTTGTGTCGTTTCTTGCATTGTTAGGAGCAGAAGAAGCAGTTCCAGAACCTCCTATTATGTGATTAGCTCCACTCTGCTTTTTAAAAGCTGCAGTTCTTCCATTACTGGCATCTGCAAATCAACAAAGAGCTTCAAGGAAGGAAAACATAGTGCACAAGTTTAGAAGTAAAAGAACATAAACCACAAAGACCTGTGTAACTTGAAGCAAAGTTCCTCCGTCCAGTCCGGCCCCTTCCTTGTGTATTTGGCACTAAATTCTGCAACAGGTAATAAGAGAAACGAGATGATATAAGCTACTAGTGGAAGTGATATACAGAAATGTGAGGGTTGCTAAGTTAATTCAAAAATCATGAATCTTAATAAAAAATTATTAAACAGAGAACTCAAGACAACACTTAAACCGCAAAAGAGAGGATTCAAAAGAAAATAAAAAGGAAAGCTACCTCTTTCTTTCTCTCCCGTTTGCTTCTCACCTCATGAAATGTATCTGAAACATTTCAAAGTATCAGTAATAATATGAGAATACACGCCTGCTATCATTATGTTGATCTTGAAACAGTAGACAGAATCCAAACTTAATCATAACCCAGATGCCCAATCTCAATCAAAGCAAAACAAAAATTCTCTTTCCACAGTCCAGCTAGATTCGTAAAGATTTTTTTAAACGACAGTTTCTAGTCATGAACCCAAATTTTGCATATTCCATTTCAGTAAAAAAGATTCCTTATTTGAACATTCCCAGACATATTATACCAAATGGAAATCTCACAAAAACTTCAGATTCTAAGCACAACACTTCTTCTAAAACAGAGAAAAAAAGACAAAACCAAAATCGACAAAGAGCATTAAATAGCAACATCCAAAACAAAGTTCAAACAAAACCCTAGGAGAAGCACGCTCAATCATTAAAAAAGAAGAAGAAGCAGAAACAGTAAAAGAAAACAAAGAAATGCTGAAACTTGGTGAGGAAAAACAACCTAAAAAGAGGAGCTTCTGAGTGGTCTCATGTGGATCATTGAAACACTCCTTAAAGACAGAGAAGATATCCTCGTCGGAATGTTGTTTACCGGTAACCTCTCTGATGTTTTGAATGGTTTCAAGCAAATCGGCCGGAATCGAAACCCTAGAGCCGCCATCGCAGCTGCTGCTGCTCATGTTGGTATATAGATTATAGAGAGAGAGAAGCGGAGGGAGGAGGAGCGAGAAAATATGGGTCAGAGCCCGGACTTGAACATAGAGAAGACTTCATATATACTAGTATTTATTTCCGTATAAAACTACCACTAAATGTCTTTCTCTCCGTATTTTTATACGCTGACGTCACTCTTGAAACTTTAATCATTTTGTATTGTTGAATAAAATAATACTGGTAAGACCGACAACAAAGTTGATATGGCCGAGTTGGTCTAAGGCGCCAGATTAAGGTTCTGGTCCGAAAGGGCGTGGGTTCAAATCCCACTGTCAACATTTCCTTTTTTTTTTCTTGTCTTTTTATAAGAAAAGGAAAAATAGACAGCTGTGGAAAAAAAAAAGATATTACTTGTTTTCTTTTCCGCGAGTCGATGTCCAAATTTAAGAATATATATATATTACACGACTTAGCTATCTCCTCTAATTAGAAGACGAAGAAGATAGATATATCAGATCTTATCAAAACCCTAGCTTTCGGTTTCTCTCTCGATCCTTAGCTCGGAGAATTTCTCAATCGAAAACTGTATTAGGAGCTGCGATGGGTTCCAGATCTCGTAATGATAATTTCCAGTCCGGCGATGGCGCTAGTCCTGGGTACGTTTACTTCTCATCATACCTCTTGCATGTTTAAATCCAGAGGATTAACGATGTGATTAGGGAATATCTCATAATCTGTGGCTTTGAAACTTTGTTTATAGTTTCGGTTCAATGTTTAATTTATGTTTTGCTTGGAATTTGTGTGTAGCAGTAAAATATTCATTGGAGGATTGCACAAAGATACGACTAATAGTAAGTCTCTTCTCTTCTGCTTGTTTTATTTTAGAAATCGTGTTTCTAGGTTTCGTTATGATAGGAGTGTGTGTGTTTCTGATGTTAGTCTTGTTTGGGATGTTGATGCTGGTTGCTCACTTTGATTTTTGATTGTAGCTGTGTTCAATAAGCACTTTGGCAAGTACGGGGAGATTACAGATTCTGTCATTATGCGTGATCGACATACTGGACAACCTAGGGGTTTCGGTTTCATCACCTTTGCTGACCCTTCTGTTGTTGACAAAGTTATCGAAGATAATCATATCATCAATGGCAAACAGGTCTCTCTTTGCCCACTTCTCTTTTCTTCCTACACTATTTTGGATTTATATAATGGATTTGATTAATTGTTTGTGGGTTCTTGGTCAAATACTTTTTCCTTGTTTTTGATGGAACAGGTTGAGATCAAAAGGACTATTCCCAAAGGTGCTGGCGGCAATCAGTCAAAGGATTTCAAAACAAAGAAGATTTTCGTTGGTGGTATACCCTCCACTGTTACAGAAGGTATACCTCCCTCTTGCCATGAGATTTTGCTTTTTATGAGAATGTTGGTTTCCTGTACTTATTGGAGATGCTTCTTCTTTTGATCAGATGAACTTAAGGACTTCTTTTCCAAGTATGGGAACGTGGTGGAGCACCAGGTTATCCGAGACCATGAAACAAACAGGTCCAGAGGTTTTGGTTTTGTAATTTTTGACAGCGAAGAAGTCGTAGATGAATTATTGTCCAAAGGAAACATGATCGATATGGCAGACACTCAGGTAAGCTTCTACAAATGGGGCCTAGAATTGTGGTACATGCACACATATATATCTTGGTTTCATTTTGAAATTTTCTGCTTGTTTCTTTCATTATACACGTTTAACTTAGTTAGAATTCTACCCTCTAGCTTACCAAATGTAAGGAGGTTGTCACAGTAAGCTAGGAAGTCCCTGCTATAGTTTGGATCCTTAGCATAGCTAGGTTAATTAAGTTGCTTTGTTGTAGGTGGAGATCAAGAAAGCTGAACCAAAGAAATCTCTAAACCGTTCACCTCCTTCTTACGGTAGTCAACCTAGAGGTCGTTCTTCTAACGATAGTTATGGCGGTTATGGTGGACCTTACGGAGGTTTTCATGGAGGTTATGGTCCTCCAGGTCCCATTAGGTCACATGGAGGTCCTCCTAGTAGGTTTGCTGGGGGATATGGGTATGGTCGTGGCGGTGTAGGCCCTGAATTTGGAGGAGGATATGGTAATTATGGGGGTGGTAGTTTAGGAGGTTACCGGAATGAACCACCCCTTGGCTATTCTAGTCGTTTTGGACCCTATGGGAGTGGGTTTGCTGGCGAGGGATATGGTCGTGGAGGAGGGGAAGGCTATGGGGCATATGGTGGTGGAGGATATGGTCGTGGAGGTGGGGAAGGCTACGGGGGATATGATGGGCCTGGTTACGGTGGTGCATATGAATCTGGTGTCCCAGGTGGCAGTTATGAAGGAGCAGGTGGTCCATATGGGAGGGGTTATAGTAGCAGTAGTCGATACCATCCATATGCAAGATAGGGTCGAGGTAATAGCAATCAATAGAAGCTATAGAAGCTTCTCTCACAGGTTTCTCTAGATTGTTCCAATCGCTCTAGGTGCATTCTAGAGTTATCATGTAGCGCCAACATCAGGAAGGATTGCTAAGGACAGGAAGAACATCAAAAAACTTTTATTAGATATCTTTTAGTGTGTGTTTACCTAATTTAAGTGTTGTCTTATCTCTTTAACTTAGATTGTGTTATGTAGACTTTAGAATATTTGGGTTTGGAGTTTGTTTCTCACTGGCACAAGAATAATTTAGAGTAAGCCTATTTATCATTTGGTAGTCTTGTTAGATGATCAATCACTCGCTTAGCTTAGCTATGCACAATCATACGAATTAGCTTAAGAAGCTCTGCAAAATGTGCATTCATCTATTCTTTAGAGCTCAAGTTAAACTTTATGTGGTGTCTTCTTATCTCTGTAGATTTTGTTGTTCCGAACAAAGGTTCGAGGGCAGTTAGTGCATGTGTAAGTAAGTAGGCATATTTTTGTCAGCTGCGTACGTAGGTTCTAGCTACAAATTGGAATTGTATATGTTTTAAAACGAATTTTAAAATCAAGTATAATGTTTTTGAAAATTATCTATATAAGCATGGTTATTATTTGGTTTTTGTTTCCTTATTTTTTAGGGTAAGGGCCACGGATATTTTGTTTGAGATTCGTTGTTCTAATACTGTGGATTTTGTTATCTATAATTTCTCATTAAAATGATTACATTTTAGTTTGTATCATTAAATAAATTTTACCTATGTAATACAGTACACATTGTACATGCTTTTAGAAGTTAATATAAAATCCTAACTTTATTAAGTTATAAGTACAAGTATGGATTGCTCCAAAAAAAAAGTACAAGTATGGATTGATACAAATGTAGAAGGAAAGGTTAACAAACAGCAAAGAGACAATTCTAAGACAAAGTGAACAGAAGGTCTACCCAAACAAAGTTGATAACATAAATTAGCGATTTAAACGACGGGGGAAACATTTTTTTTAATCTCAATAGATTAAAGCAGTGGCGGAGCTATAGCATTAGGAGGGGGGTCAATTGACCCTATAACTTTCATAAATTCCTTTTATAAAGCTTAAATATTGTGGAAGCCCCCTTGGCCCATTGGTTGACTAAGGGTTAATTAATGCTTCTATACCAAGAGGTATGGGGTTCGAGTCCCAGATATTGCGATTTATTAATAAATTTGCAGATTAAAGGAGGCAAGTGTGCAGGAGATCTCCAGCGAAGTACAATTATAGCCGTTCGCCAGGATTCCACGCCGAGAGAGAAGTGTCGTCAGGTCATGGATCATTGAAGGTGTCCGTCAAGAGCGTGGAGAATGAAGTGTCGTCTGCCGTGGATCTAATAAGGGTCGAAAGGAATTGTCCGTTGTAGAATCGTCTATGTAACAGTTCTCATAATTTGCAATAAATAATAAATCTAGACGTAAAAAAAAAAAGCTTAAATATTTGGTATTTAGTTTATAATTTGGTTTGAAATATTAAATTGACCCCCTTACTCCACGTTCACATTCTATATTTGCATCCTTTGTTAATTTTGTTTCTTCCATTTAAGCATATCTTTTAATTCTTTCCTTCTATCTTATATATCAATTTCCATTTTTCTTCTATTTCCTAGCCCTATTTTAAATAGTTTCCTTGGTAACTATTTTCATTATTTCCCCTATTAATTGTTTAATACTGTAAAACCTCTATAAATTAATAATGTTGGGACCAAGAAATTTTATTAATTTAGAGAGGTATTAATTTATCGATAAATTAATAATTATTAATTTATTAAGAGATTTTACAAATTTTGTAATTTTTTAAAGAAATTTCTATCTAAAAATAAAAATTTTCTTTATAAACAATATCTTTTAAAAACTAATTACAAGTAGAGAAACAAATATTAAGTTTAAAAAACAACACAAATTTTTTTGAATAGTAGAGTCATATTTCATCAAATTTTTACATTTGATATTTTAAATATATATCATAGTAATTCATATATAACATATATAAATTTATATAATATATATATATATATATATATTGATAATTTAATACAATTATTAATTTATGGTATAGATGGGACCATACATTTACATGAGATTTTCAAAAAAAATATTATCTTATTAATTTATCGATTTATGTTATATTTTACACTGGTCCCAACTTGGGACCGGAAAAATTTATTAATTTAGAGAGGTTATTAATTTATAGAGTATTAATTTATAGAGGTTTTACTGTATGTCTTTCCTCTAAACTTAACATGAATTTATCTATACGTGTGGATTAATAAATATTTTGAGTAACAAAAAAGATTTATAATATGGATGTTCTTGTATTTCACACAAAAAATTAAGAATTTCTAAAGCAATGTATATTTTATCCAAAAACAACAATAATTTATGAAGTTTACAACACTAACGATATTATTTGTGGTTCTCGTTTTTTAATGAAAAAAAACTAATAGTAATACCTAAAAAAATTTGAAAAAAAATCAATGATAAAATTTTATTCCAAATAAATAATTAAATATTATAACATAATATTGACCCCTGTAAAAAATATTTTTGGCTCCGCCACTGGATTAAAGGCCAATCTTATCAGTATAGTGCATTGCAAGTTTGCATTTTTGTTAACAAAAAAAAAGTTCTATATTGTTTTTACACTTTCTTCCTCCGTTTTACCTATTTTTATAACGCGAAAACGATTTTCCAAAATCTCTATATATTTTTTTGGTCGATTCCAAAATCTCTATTTAATGGACGAGTTTACTGCAAAGAAAACGACAATCTCGGATATTCAGAACCACAAAGAAAGGACAAAAATGAAAATCACTATTTTTAGATACATAACTTTTACATAAACTTCTCTTTTTTAACTCTACAATTTCTTTTCTTTTTTTTCAGTTTCGCAATTCCGACTATTTTTAGACTTTTCTCTATTCGTAAAAAGGTAGAGAAAGAAACACACGAGAAAGAGAAGGAGAAAACAAATGGAAGGGAAAGAGGAAGAAGCAAAGAGGAGGATGATGATGAAGATCAAACTTAAGGAGACAGAAGCAGAGATAAACCAAGATGATATTAAAAGACAAGAAGCTTACAATATGTCTCCACGTGTACGTCGTGGTGGTGGTGGTGGTGGCTCGGTAGGTATGAGCAAGTCATCGAGCGTGAGGCAAAACTGTTTATGCGCACCAACGACACACCCTGGCTCCTTCAGGTGCCGTTACCACCGTCGCAACGCTGGACTCGGCATGTCTCGTGGCATATCCGTTCCCTCTAACCTTTCCATGTTGGGTGGTGGAGACTCTATCTCTGGCTCTCCCAAGTGATTCATATATTAATGTGTTTCTTCTCATCAATTTAAAATTCTCGTATGTGTGTGTGTATATACAAAAATGCGTAAGTAGAGAAATCTCTGGATATTCATTCACTTTGCTGTTTGCACAAATCTATATATATAATAGGAGAGTCTTCTCTCCATCTAGACTATCCACCTAAGCATCCACCTAAGCAAGACTATTTATTTTACATTAAAATAATTTTAGAACATTCATTTAGTGCATCTTTATATTACATATAATTAATAGAAATTTTAAATCAATGAAAAATTAATTATGTAAAATAAATGAGATGTTAAAATAATAATAAAAATACTATGAATTTTTCATTAGTGGTAATACTATAATTCAAAATTTTAAATGATAAAAATTTAAATTGATCATACTTTAAAATTTTAAATGTGTTAGTGAGTTTTAGAATTGAAGTAAATTTTAAATGCATGGTAGAATAAAACTAAATTTATGTAATTATCTATATATATATAATAGGAGAGTCTTCTCTCTATCTAGACTATCCACCTAAGCATCCACCTAAGCAAGACTATTTATTTTACATTAAAATAATTTTAGAACATTCATTTAGTGCATCAGAACATTCATTTAGTGCATCTTTATATTACATATAATTAATAGAAATTTTAAATCAATGAAAAATTAATTATGTAAAATAAATGAGATGTTAAAATAATAATAAAAATACTATGAATTTTTCATTAGTGGTAATACTATAATTCAAAATTTTAAATGATAAAAATTTAAATTGATCATACTTTAAAATTTTAAATGTGTTAGTGAGTTTTAGAATTGAAGTAAATTTTAAATGCATGGTAGAATAAAACTAAATTTATGTAATTATCTATGTAAAAATTTAAACAAGAAAATAAAATGTAAAGTGAAATATTCGTTTCTAAGAACAATATACTACATATTTTTATTTATTATAAAACTTTTTACTTCAAGAAAATAAAATATTACTAAACTCAACTTAAATTTATAATGTAAGATAAAGATATTTTAAGAGTCACACTTTATCTTGTGAAATTATTAAAAACAAATCTTGAAAATTTTAAAGCCTTATCATCCATCTTAAAAAAAAAAAATCAATGATCGCATTATTCATGAGTTCTACAACAAAATATATAAAAATGATATGTAAGCCGTTAAAAAAGAAGTGATATGTAATTTGTGTAGCATATTCTCAAGTGGAACTACAACTTTATAACATGATCAGAAAGAAAAAGAAGTTTGATATCTCATCAATGGAATCAAATGCTTTTAACAAAATAAAAAGAGTATTGAAAGATAGTAATTAAGGAAAAAATAGCTATGATATGTCTTGAAAATCAATTCATAGTCCAATATATATTATATGTGAGTCAATAGAAAGTGAAAAGAAAGTAGATGTCGAGAGGCAACGAGTGCATCATAGAAGATGACGATTAGTTAAAAGTGTTTGAAAATAAATTTCTAAAACTTAGAAAGATAATGCAAATGGTAAGGTAAAATCTTTGAGATCTCATTCATTGTGTGAAACGAATGGGTTCTTAGAAAATATATGACATATATTATTAAACAAATTATTAGATTCAAAGTTGGACTTAACTGTTTGGCCATGTAATCATGGAAAGTAAGATAAGATAGACATATTATAACTTAGTCAAGAATTCCCTTATGGCACGCTGCATTAGCTTCGATGGGTGAAACAAGCTCGCTAAACCTGTTCTAGCAATATGGTATTATAGATGTACCTTTACACTAAATAATGTTCATGAAACTCTGTATATTCGCATTTTATAAGGAATGATTTTATGTTCGTATCAATATTTAATCATATATAATATCTACAATTAGGTCAATAATTGATAATTAATATCAAAACTTTTAAAGATATGTCCTCATGGAATATGAATAAGAAAGAAACTTTTTTAGAGATAAATGATCATTAGATGGTCGTCGATACGTTTATTTTTTCCGCGAATTTCTTAAGTGATCTTAATTACCATGTGATATATATCAAACTATTTATTTGTCATGGAAACAGTATCGTCGAGAATATATATGTTGTATATCGCTTCGTAAAATAAATTTAGCATTTATATAGATTTATCTTTTAAAATTTGAATTATTATATTTATGCTCAAATATTTATCTTTTAAATTTTAATGATTATATTTTATCATTAAAAATTTATATTAATAGAAAATATTTAAAATTAAATTCCACGCAACGCCCGAGTACAAAATCTAGTGAAATAAATTCAAGTGATCGTGATTTTTGTTTGCATCGATTAAAAGTACAAAATGCGACTCTGATCCCCGCACGCCGAGATCCGCCTAGACAGGGATACTAGAGAAAAAATCATAAACCATATAGTTCCGCCGGCAAGGTCGGATTTGTACAACGTCTATGACCACCCAGTCGACGCTAGACGCTCGTTTAAAACATTTTGTTTTGGTTGGACAGATGGTAAAATTGAGTTTCCAAATCGTGTTTCTCAATACAAGTCACGTTTGAGGGAATAGGCTTGGAGATTAATGACAAAACATACAAGCTTTTAGGCTCAAGACTCATGAGTATTGGGAAGAGAACAAATTATAAGATTACACTAGAATTGGGAAATGGTACAATGATCTTCTCGGATAAACAAAATGTGCATCCGGGACATATAACAGTAGCTCTGTAATAAATTTACATAAAGATAAGAGAAGAAAGAAATCTAAAACAAATGTATCACAGAAGAAATAGTAAAAAAATGGGTCGACAAAGTAATTGAGGTTCAGGTAGTGGGTCGTGTCCAACTGGTTTGAGATGTACTTGTATTCCCATAGTAAACTTTTTTGGTAGATTCGTCCCAATATGCCTGCGAGAGAGATAGTCAAGTGACATTGTTTTAGCGACTGAGTTCTCATTCAAGAATCAAACGCTAGTGAAATGGTGAAAACTTAATACCTGCCATCCCGACGGGAGATTTGCTGAGAGTTTGGTTAGATCAGGTTTTTGCTGCTTATCGGGGTCTTTCTTCTGAGACTTCTCGGCTCGTTCTCTCTTCCGCTTCACTTTCTCACGCCTAATCACATCATACAACCACATTAAGTAAATTAAATAATGTTACTGGGGAGGAGATAAATAAATGTTGGCATTAGAGAGTAACTAACCAGTCACCACCGAGAGGTTGGAAATTTGCGTTGTCTTTAGCCTCTCCACTCGCGATTTGTCGAGATTTCCATTCTTCGATTTCTCGTTTTCTTTTTCTATCTAGGATTCCGGAATCATCTTCTTCTTCTTCACTATCGTTCAGCTCCTCTTTCGCAGCTTTCCACTGACCACAAGTGGAGACACCTTTAAGTTTTGGATCTAAGGGAATCTAGAAAAGGGTTGTATATAAGGAGATTCAAGAAATAAATAACATACCTTGTCAACCAAACTCGAAACCTTTTTATTTGACCTCAATGTGGATGTAGCAGCAACTGTCCGCTTTTTTAACCGTTTCACTGTTACCAAAGCCAAGGACTTATAAGCAAAACTCAGGTATGCTCAAACTATGAATGTGAAAAACGAAATTCGATTAAGAATATATCATACCTTTCGTTTGACCCTTTGCTAATAGAGACGATCCACCTGTAACATCTGTGGATTGAGAAGTAGTTGCCGAAGATGCAATCTCAGCAAAGTCATTGGATCTCGAACTAGGCACTACAACTGTAGAAGAATTGCTTGAGATGTAGTGATTAGCAGAACCAACTCCACCGTGATGTAGCGATGACTCCGTGGAGCTAATGACAGGAAAAAGTGGAGCTGCACCATTGAAATCGTAATAAGCTTCACCAGCACTGGCTGCTGTGGGAGCAACTTCACTTGTACCAGGAACAGTTTCATAATAAAATGTCGACTGGGGAAGAGAAACTTGAGATCCATCGACATGGCCATAGAACTGAGTATTAGGATCTAGCGCAACAGAATTGGTATATTGATAATTGGACTCTGGATAGGGTAAGTTGTATTGTGTTGCATAATCAGCAGATTGCTGCATATAAGATTGAGGTACAGTATAGGGAACTCCGAGAGAGTCACTGGACAAAGATGAAGGGACATGGCCATTTTCAGGTGGTGGAGGAATTGGTTCGCTATAACTGTCTGGTGGCGGTGGAGGAACATCTTCACTCTCAGACGGCGGTGGTGGAATCCATTCCTCACCCGGAGGTATTGGAACATCTGCATGGAGGTTGGATGGCTCTGTTTGGCTGAACATCTTACCATCAGAAGTATCTATCACTTGAACAGAAGACACTGGAACTGATTCTTCAACCTCCATATCCACATCCATGTCAATATCTTCCACATCTGGGGAGCCAGCCTTCTGACGCATCTCAGTTGAAGGAGTAATATCAGACTGCCCAGCTGGATGACTTCGGGAGTATTTAGGAGATCCATCGCCGATCACATCAGCTGATTCATCTGAATGAAGAGATTTTTGAGATTGAGCTAGCTCTCCATCTCTTTCACTGTCCTCAGATTCACTCTCTGTATTAGCATCTGCTACCAACTTTTCTTCAGGAGGGCTTTTGTTAGTTTCTGCAATTTCATCCATTACTGCAGATTTTGCAAGCTGGTAAATCTCATCGTTAACACTATCTTCCAGACGCTTAAGTTGTTTCTCAGTGTGAAGCCAAAAAGAAAGTAAAGGTGAGCTATCCAATATGAGCGCCTTTACATCAGAATGTCTGACTTCAACCTCCAGAATGTACTTTGTTATCTGCTCATTGCTGTGAAAGTTCCCATGCGACCTATCAATTTTTTGAAATTAGAGATAAACATATTTTAGAGAAGATAAGGAACTGTGATCTTTTTACCTAACAATATAACATACGTAAACAAGAAGATGCAGACTAGAATATGTTACCTCTTCAGAGACCTCAGCTTCTCCAGTAAGCCTTCGATTTGACTCAACAAGCGAGATGGGAGCTCAGTAGCCGCTCCTGCATCAAAATTAGTACGCACATGATCTGAATTTCCTGGCCTTGAAAGGTACTTCTGACTATTAACAACAGAGTCTATCCGACATTCAACTTGATGACCATCTGTTCCTAAACTTTTGACATATAGATCTTCACTTTTGTTTCTCTCATCCAGCTCAACAGTTGGAAAAGTCGA